GAGAGAGAGAGGAGGAGGAGGAGGAGGGAGGGAGGGAGGGAGAGAAAAAGAGAAAGAGAAAGAGAAAGAAAGAGAGAGAGAAAGAAAGAGAGATTTCTTAAACCCCCAATTGCAGGGTGCCTTCTACACGTGGAGGGCTCAGATGAGGACATTGAGTGGGTTATCCAGTCTCCTTTGTGCCCAGCTACTCCTGAGAATGGGAACCCACATGAGCGTTTTTGGCTGCTGGCCTGGCAGGAGCACCTAGGAATAGCTCTGCCCTCAGGGTGCTAGGCTTCCTGGGAGGAATATGGTTGACTCAAGGGCAGCCTGGCCCTCAGGTCATAAGGTCATGATGCTGCTGACTCTTCAAGGTCAGGCTCCCCAGGCCTCCAGGGAGGTTGTTGAGGCTCCTGGGCTCCTCCTCACCATCCTTCCTCCCTCATTGTCACAAATACCTCTGAGCGCTATGGGGTGAGTCCTGGGGGGGGACAGGTGGATCTGAGGGACTGCTTACAGGGAGTTTGTGACCTCTGGGGAGGGTTAACAGTGGGAAGAGTAATGCCAGAAGAGCCGTCTTCCCCAGGCACCGAGTGCCCTCTTCTCTGGTCTCCAGAAAGCTGCTGCAGCTTGTCCACATTCCCCCTCTACTCCTTAGAGGGACCCTGGTTTCATGGGAGGACCTAATCCGCGTCTGGTGTAGAAGTAGCATGGACCTGTGCACATATACTTGCTTAGGAGGACATGTTTGCAAAGGTGGACACGTGGTACTCCTTAGAAACTTGCAGGATGCCCTGCCCACCACCCCCACTCCCTTACTGGCATCTGAACCTTTCCTGTCACGGGAGGGGGGTGATGTTGTTTCGTCCAGACAGAATGCACTGGGACCCACAGAGACACGTTCAGATGCAGGGTGTGGGGTGTGGAGGAACGAGGACCCACCAAGAAAGGGCCTGGGAAGGGACAGGTGGGCCCAGGGGACACGTGTTCAGGTCCACATAAATAGGGTGCTTCTCTCCTGTGCCCTCATCTCCTAAGTGGAGCTGTCTCCCCAGTATTTCAGTGCCTTGTGGGCTAGTTGCTTGAGGAGGCTGAAGTGGGGACATGCCACCTGCTCCCACTTGGTCACCCAGTGGGCAAGCATCCACTCTCCAGGGGCCCAGGCCCAGCTTAGAGCTTAGTGGGCACCTTGACCTGCTTCCCCTGGGCCACACTGCCAGCTGTAAACGAGGACTAGCCTGCTGGCCTAGGGAAGGATGCAGGCCCCAAAGACAGGTGCCTCTGGCAGTGGACGTAGGCAGGCTACGGCCTTCTTTCCCAGGTGCCTGCTCTTCCTGCGGAAGACTGCACTTCTTCACTCCAGCCTGTGTCTGTCTGACTGCCACCTGCGTGTCATTTTTGGCTTGCCACTGATTTTATGCTGTTTTGAGGCTGCCAACTGCCTCCATCCCTCCAATCCAGATCCCCAAGAGGAGGTCCGATTCAGCCAGTCCATCATTCTCAGTAAGCCACTTGGGCCACCTTCAGCCCACAGGCAAGCAGGCAGCTGAGATGGTGGGGTCAGAGGGTACACATGGTGCACCCTCCCTCCCCTCTGCAGGGCTGTAGAGGACAGTGTTCCCCAGCAGGGGCCATGGATGTGGCAGGGACTCCCAAACTCGTCTGACACACTGGACGTGAGCTCCCAGGGATGGCATCCCTTTGCTGACCTGCATTTGCTTTGGGCACTTCCAGGGCACAGTGGATTCCGGTTGCCCTCTGGCCAGCACACCCCCTGACCCACACCATGGGATTCTGAAGGCGGATGCTCCTGGGCCCCCACATCCTATACTCTGTGGATGATGGGTGACGACAGACTGTCTGAACACCCCAAACCTATGGGACTTCTTAACATCTGTTTAAGAGATGACCTGCAGCCCTCTCTGGGAGTGCACCCAAGGGGGATGCCTGAACCTTCTTGGGAACACACCTGGGCGTCTGCCCCCCCTGATCCCACGAGGCCAGGCACCCCTCCCAGGGGCTCCAGTGCAGAGCCCATGGGCCTGGTGGCCGGCCCGTCCCAGGGGGACCCGAGGCAGAGCCAGGGCACGTCCACACAGGTGGTATTCTGGGCGGGCATCCTGCAGGCCCAGATGTGTGTCCTGGACCTGGAGGAAGAGCTGGAAAAGACCGAGGGGCTCAGGGCAGGGCTGAGGTCCTGCCTCCCCGTGGCCCCTGCGGACCTGTGCCCCTTTTCCTGCAGCCCCACAAGCCCTCAGGACTTGGACCTGTGTCCTGGCCCACCTGTGGAGGAGGCCTCAGGGGAGGACAGCAGCGGGCCTGAGGGTGAGGATCAGGACCTAGTGTGGCCAGGCGAGGGGACGGTAGGCTCCTCCCTGGAGTGGGATGCAGAGGAGGAGAGTGTGTTCTTTGACAACCCCCTCTTCCTGGAGAGCCCCTGCTCAGACTCTGCTCTTGGGGCCCGCTTCTCCTGGGGGCCTCCAGACACCTGCATGGCCATGAGACCTGACAGCCCACACACCCTGGAGCCTCCTGTCCTGGTCCCGGGAAGTGGGGCGCCATGGTGGCTGGGCGAAGACCCGGATGGTGGGGACAGCATGGCTGACTCCAGTGGGCACACCACACCTCCATTCCCTGTGCCCACCTACAAATCACACTCCTGGGACATGGTAGACACCACTGACCAGGCTCCCACAGCACCTCCTGGCCGGAGGAACAGTGAGGTAAGCCGGGCCTGGGAACCAACCCAGGGCTGTGTGTGGGGAAACGGAAGGCCGGGCCTTGCCCTGCACTCAGAGGTCACCGGGGCCAGAACACTCTTCAGATGCCAAAGCTTTTGGGAACCCTGGAGTAATAGAGCTGGAAAGCCAGACCAGTGTGGCCTTCAGACCTGTCAGAAATTCTATGGATGCCATCATGTCAACTGAACACGATGGCCCTTATGTCCACAGTGTCCCTGTATCACCAGCTTTGAGGGCAGTGTATGGACACTTGGAACTGGCAGGTCCTCCACTTATAGCCTGTTCCCAGCCTTTCTCTGTTCCCGGCCACCCCTCTCACCTCCCAACTGTAGCTGCAGGGTCAGCTGCCAAGGGCAACCTCCGCCCCTGACGGGAGATGCCTGGCAGTCCCACTCTGTTTTTTCTTAGCGATTTCAGCATTTTGCTACTTTTAGCTAACCATCTTTCATTCCCTCTCCCCTCCTGGTGTCAGTAGATCAGGCCCATATAACAATGGCAGAGGTCCTTGATATCAGCTAGGACTAGTTATGGGGACAAGTGTGGCAGACAGTAGGGAGCACGATTTTCCCAGGGAGACCTCTGTGAAGAGATAAGGGAACTCCAGATGGTTGAGCAGGGCTGGGACTGTCTGGTCTCCCCAGTCCCAGAGAGCAATGCAGACCTGTTACCCCAGAGGGGCTTCTGAGTGGCTGGGGTCCCAGTGTGAGTGGGACCTTCTGGCCAGTGCATAAGGCTGTCGCTGTGCCCCACTCCCTCTGCCGTAGCACAGCCCCTTCTTGGTTGGTACTGTAGGAGGCAGGGCTACCTGGGGGGACTGGTGAGGAAGGAGGATGACAGAGAAAATGGGTAGTCAGTGGACATGGGCTGGGGCCCAGGAGGCCTCGGTGTGGCACAGTCCCCCAGGTTACACCCCTCCTCCCTTTCTCTGAGACTACTCTGGCAGATGGTCTTGACCCTGCAGCATCCCATGTGGACAAAGCATCGACCTGGGAAAAGGGACCTGTTGGATCTGACCCTGGCCCTGCCACCCATCATGTGCAACCTTGGGCAAGTCACCTCCCCCTCTGCGCCTCACCTATATCTATACAGAAGAAACGTGAACCTATGATTTCCAGGGTCTGGCATCAGCATCCTAGAATGTGGGCTTTCTCTGGTCCAGGACCCTTCTCTGAACTCAGGGCCCAGGCCGGATGGGAGGACAGCAGGGTGGGCTCTGTGTTCACAGTTGTGCTCCACTCTCCCTGCCTAGACCCCCTCACCTCTCAGGGACTCCAGGCTTCACGGACACCCTGTGCTTCTCTCAGCAGGCCCTGCCCAGTGCTGAGGACTGGCATACAGGACAGGGTCCTTCCTGGCCCCAGGTGCCTCTCATCTCCCAGGACAGAGGTGAGACCTACTATGGGGGTCTGGGAAATTGGGTGGTGGGAGGCTTTGCATCTGGAGTGGGACAAAGGTCATTCTTGGATCCATGGGTGTCATTAGGGGTCCCACTGTACTGTGTTGGAGCCAGACAGACTTGGGGTTAAATTCTATTTCTGCCTGTGTGACATCATCAGGACTGTGGGTTTCAAATACTCACTTTGCAGAGTAAATGAAGAAATATGCAAGACACCCAGCATCTTCGATGCCTGGGTCTTAGTGGCTTAGTAAGTCCTGAGCCCTGATTGTCTCAGGGCTGGAGTCCTGGGCGCCCTATGCAGTCTGTCTCTGCATGTGGGAAGTCACTGCCCAAAGGATGGACAGGACTTGCCACCCAGCACAGGGAGAAGCCCCATGGAGACGGCTTGGTGGGCAAGGGGCAGATGACTCTTCTGGCTCTCCAGGCCCCTCGGCCTTTAACCTGCTGTTCACCTTGCCAGTCTTACTCCGTGCTCTTTCTCAGGTGACAGACATGCTGAGTGTCCCCAGGAGCCTGCTCCTTGCACCTCAGCCCCTGACCCCTGGGGAGGCCCAGCCCCTTCTTCAGAGCCTAGCAGCCCTGAGTCTGAGAGCAGAGGCCTCAGCTACAGGCCCAGCCCCAAGTCTTCCCCGGAAGGCAGCCCGCGGCCCTGGGGCCAGCAGGCCGGCGGCATTCTGCCCAGGTGGACACCAGATGCTCCCTGCCTGTCATTCCTGGAAACAGGTGGGGCAGAGCCTAGTTCCCTGGAGAGAGCAGCTCCAGAGCCTGGGGAGGACGTGAAGAGTGAGGGGGCCAGGCAGCCTGATGTGCACCGGACCTCCACAGAAGGGTGAGTGTGGGACTGGCCGGCTCTGGCTGATGCTTATGGGTGTGTCTGGGAGTGCCCTGGTCTGGGAGCATGACAAGTGCACACTGGGACTGAACACACCTATGTCAGTTAAGCCAGGGCTATCTGCCTGGCCCTCAGCAGGGTTTTGAGGGAAACAGGAGGGTTTGAAAGCACCAGAAACCAAAGAACAGACAGTCACACACATGCGCCGAGGCAGGGCCCCGTGAGACCTGTGCAAGGCTGGACAGCAGAGGGGCAGTGCCCAGAGAGATGGCAATTGTGCCCGGTAGGTGTGGGGCATGGGAGTTCAGAGCTCGTGATGTGGAATCACATATGCTTTGTGTCTAAGGTGGCGTCTGAGAGAAACTAATGCCAGAGCCTAGGCCCAGGCAGCTGGCTCAGATCTTGGGAAGCTGGAGCGCCAAGGGGGTTTGACTGGGACCAAGGGAAGGGGTCTGGGGCCCGGAGCAACTGGCACAGGTGGGAACAGGCCAAGTGGGAAAGCAGCCGAGGTCTGCCACCCAGATGGTGTGTAAAAATGTCAGCCCCTGGGGTCTCTACATGGGGAGGGGCTTTGTTCTTAGGCTGGCTGACAGGGGTCACCCGATACTGCAGTGACTGCAGGGTCAACCCCACTCCCATCTCTGTGTCTCTGGGTGGTGGCACAGAACCTGTCAGTGTCAGGATCAAAGAGCCGTCCTTCTCATGCATCTGGAGACAGTTGTTCAGAGGCAGGGTCATCAGAGGGGTCTCTCGCTATCTAGACCCAGAGTGTCATTGTACCAAAATTAAAGTTAATTCAGCTCGCAATGAAATAAGTAACCCCCCTAAAATGAGAACCACACTTTTAGAGTAAATGACATACTAAATATTCTATAAATTAGTTTATTTAATCTTATATTTAATACAATATAGGAGGTTTAATTTTCCTCGCACAAGCTTGCCCAATGAGAGGCCTTTCATTCACACTTGACTTTCACAGTGAGCTCATAAAGGTCTTTCTGATTTTATTTTAATAGCAGCTTTACTGAGATGAATTTACACACTACAGTCCACTCATTTGAAGTGTACAATCGCATGACTATTTATTTTGGCATAGTGCTTTCTCCCCCAAAGTGCCTCTCCATCTAGATATTTTAGCAACAACATTAACTGATGAGATCATTTTTTTGTAAAAGTATTTCAGGGCTTCATCAGCTGATTATCCAGACAGTTCTCTCTAGAGGGGATGAGTGTGTCATCTTTATTTCCTGCTCTCTGTTGCTCACTGGATGAATGCCCCCAGCTCCTCCCCGTCACCGGCTTTCCGTGTGATTCCTGGTCTCACAGCATCACTTTCATGGACTTCATGAAATCATGGGGAATTGTTTTACAAGATTTATAATTTTACTGTTCAGTTGGTTTTGATTATGTTTGCCCTGCCTTGCTGGGTGTGTCTGAGTCTCAGGACGCAGTGAGAAGTTACCAGCAAGGACACTGGCCCTGTCGGGCCAGAGATAGATGTGTTAAGTGGAGAGGGCAGTCTGTCAGTGAGCATTTTCATACTATGATTTCTGCTTCTGTGCATAATTGCTAACTATGGCAGTGTGGACAATGACCATCCCGATGACAAGGGCTCCCCATGCCTGGTTGCAATGTCGCAGGGCAAACTGAAGGGTCAAGTAGAGACAGGACATGGGGACTTCTGATGTTCTGCGTCTTTGGGGCTTGCCGGTTCACTCATCTCCCGCAATAAGGCCCTTTACCACAGTATAGGAAGGGAAAGGCTGGAAGCCACCTGACCCCGCAGCCGTCGCCATTCCTAAAGCTGGTCTAACTTCCCATTCTCACCTCCTTCACATGCCTTTATCGGCTCCAGATCTAGCAATGGGAGCTGGAGCTGGAACTGGAGCTGGAGGGCAGGGGCGGACAGGCAGGCACTCTGAGGGTCTCTCCACGACTTGACCCAGAGCCCTTTCGTGTCCATCTAAGTGGGAGTCTGATGACACTGATGGACTTTCCCAGGCTTCCTGAGAGCCCCATGCCCCAAGTGCAGCCCCCAGAGGAAGGCCAGAGGCCACAGGCTGGAGACAAGCTGGCTAATGGCATTGGGACCGACAAGCTGGCCTGGGACCTGGCCTCTCGCCTATATCGCCTAGAGGGCTTCCAGAAGTCCGAAGTGGCTGCCCACCTGCGGAAGAAGTAAGGGGTTCTGAGCCTGAGCAAGGTCGAGGGTGAGGCAGGACAGGCTCCGTCCACTGGTCACACCTCCCTGTCCCTGTGTCCCTCCAGCTGACCTCTTACTCCATCGTGCCTGTCCTGATGTTACCCCTTCTCATGCCCTTGACCCAACTTAGAGCCACTGGACTGGCCACTTTGCCTCCCTGCCCTGATCCAACGTGTCCCTCCCACCCAGCAGACAGACCCTAGTTGACCCTTGCCCTCTCAGCCCCCTGGACCCATCTGTCAGGCCTTGGGATGTGTGCAGACTTTGGGGCCCCTCTGTGCTTGTGGCCCCAGTCTAACCCCCACCCCACTTCCCTCCGCAGTGATGACCTCAGCAGGACTGTGGCTCAAGAGTACCTGTCCTTCTTCCAGTTTGGAGGCCAGAGCCTGGACCACGCCCTCCGGTAATGCTCTGGTCTCTGGGAGTGGGCTGTGGGCCGGGGCCACAACCTCTAGTAGTGCTCCGCCCTCTCTGGGGTGGGCTGTAGGTGAGCAGGCTGGCAGCCCCTGGGGGTCTGACTCTGGCTTCCGTGCAGGGGCTTCCTCCAGGCCCTGGTGCTCAGTGGGGAGACTCAGGAGCGAGAGCGAGTCCTGTACCAGTTCTCCAGACGCTTCCACCACTGCAACCCTGGGCTTTTCTCCTCAGTAGGTAGGAGGGCAGGGCTCCCGGGTACTGTGGTTTGTTTGGGGGATTGTGAGAACCTGAGCATTTGGGGGTCACCCCACCCAGTGAGGGCAGAGGAAACATGGGGCCCAGTTGCAGCGCTTTGTCTCCACTTGTGGCAGACTCGGTCCACACCTTGACTTGTGCCATCATGCTCCTGAACACTGACCTACATGGACAGGTGAGCGGATGGGGAGGCCGGGTGGGTCCCAGAGTGGCTGGCTGGGGGGTACTAACTGTTCTTCTTGTCTCCATGGCCACAGAACATCGGGAAGAGCATGAGCTGCCAGGAATTCATCAGCAACCTGAATGGGCTGCAGGATGGTGGAAACTTCCCCAAGGAGCTGCTGAAGGTGCGACTTCCACTCGGGTCTGGCTCTGCCCAAATGTGCTTAAGAGGACAGGGCCTGTTCAGTGGAGGAACTGAAGCTTCGGCTGGGATCTGTTAACGTTTGTATGTTCTGTTCCCAAAGCCCAACCTGGACCTACTGAACCAGACCTCTGGGCTGGGCCTGAACGGCCGTTGAGCTTCCAGCCCTTCCCGCTTCGTCAGCTTCCTCCGAGCAGGATAGCATGTGGCTGATTCATTTCCCTTCCAGAGAGCTAGTTCAAGCCTCACTTAGCTCAGGCAGGGACTAGAACTGCTGTGTTCACCTTGTGTCTCCAGCTCCCTACACAGTGCCCAGAGCTTGGCAAATGCTCCATAAGTTGTCACATGTGCGGGGAGCACCGAGGGGTTCCTTCCTGCTCAAGGGAGGAAAATGGATGGGCTGGGAGAAGCAAGCTGCAGATGCCACACCCCTCCACCAGATGGATTTGGGCCCGCAGCGTCAGGCTCCTCGGCCCACCTATGTGCTTCTGTTCCAGGGCCTGTACTGGTCTATCCGAAGTGAGAAGCTGGAGTGGGCAGTGTAAGTGAGAGCCCTTCCCAGCCCACCGGGGCCTGGGCAGTGCCCCTCAGAGTGGGGCAGGGCCAGTCTCAGAGGGGGTACAGCCCAGGTAACACCTGGGGGTGCCAGAGACGGGGGGTTGGGGGGATGACAGGAACTAATGGGTTGGCTTCAAAGGGCTCCTTCTGGGTGTCCTGGGGTGTGGCTCCCCAGCAAGACAGAGGGTGGGGGTGTTGAGGCAGTGGGCACCTCCTGATGGCTTCTGCACAGCCAGTACCCCAACCAGATTCTGTATGTCCAGGGATGAAGAAGACGCAGCCAGACCCGAGAAGGTCCGGCCGAGTCCCCCAGCTGGCACGATGAGCAACCCCTTCCTCCAGCTGGCCCACGACCCCACTGTGCCCACGTACAAGCAGGGCATCTTGGCTCGAAAGATGCATCATGACGCGGATGGCAAGAAGAGTGGGTGTCTGCTGCTGTGTGGGGCCTCTGCGTGGGGTTTGTGTGAGGCAGCACTGCTCAGGGACGCCTGCTGTGTGCGTAGCTGAGGACAGGTCCCCCATGCTCCTTCCTCCGTGGTGACTGTGTGCTGTGTAAGGCACCCTGGGGTGGGAGGGGTGCAGACACAAGAGGGGCCTAGTGTTCCTGTCCCCAGAGCCCCTGTGGTGACGTGTGGTCTGAGTGGTGTCTGAGAGCTGGGTCAAGTATGGGGTGTGGAACAGGGTGAGGTTTGGGGTTTTGTTTGGAATGGGATGTGGGGGCAGGATGGTTGCAGCATCTGGGAAACAATTGGATCAGGGCTGGACCTTAAAGGGTCTGGGTGTGGAAGTTGGGCAGAGGGCATCCCCCACAGAGAGGAGCAGGCAGTTTGCTGCAGACATGGGATGTGTGAAAGAGAATGGTGGGAGATGCACTGAGCTTCACTGCAAAAGGCTGGAGGCTCTAGAGCAGCGGTTCTCAACCTTGCTAATGCCGCGACCCCTTAGTATAGTTCCTCATGTTGTGGTGACCCCCAACCATAAAATTATTTTTGTTGCTACTCTATAACTGTAATTTTGCTACTGTTATGAATCGTAATGTAAATATCTTTTTGTTTTCTGATGGTCTTAGGCGACCCCTGTGAAAGGGTCATTCAACCCCCAAAGGGGTCGCGACCCACAGGTTGAGAACCGCTGCTCTAGAGCAAGGCAGCCATGGAGTCCCAGGTGGGACAGGTGGATACTAGCCAGGGAGCGAGCGTTCCACGGGCCTGAGTGAGGCCAAGGCTGATCGCAGGGGGACTGCTTTCTCCCGCCTAAGGGCCTGAGCCCTGTGGCTCTCTGGACAGGTTTACGAAGTGGAGGTCATCTTACAGGGACCAGAACAATGTCTGAGAAGTGCTGTGCTTGTCGGCTTTTGCTTCTGTGTGTTTATGTGCACCTGGGGCATGGGGGGCTGGAGGTGGTGTGAGGGGCAGGGAGGGGGCCCTGGGGGTGTCTGGGTGGGGTGCCCTCATCCACCTGTGTGCTCTCCTGGAGCAGCGCCATGGGGCAAGCGCGGCTGGAAGATGTTCCACACCTTGCTTCGAGGAATGGTCCTCTACTTCCTGAAGGTAGGAAGGGGGTCCACACCCTGATGGGCAGGGTGGGTAACTGATGAACAGCTCTTTTCTGAGTCGCTGTGCCCTGTGGCAGGGAGAGGACCAGGGCCCTGAGGGGCAGATGGTGGACGAACCTGTGGGGGTACACCACTCACTGGCCACACCAGCCACCTACTACACCAAGAAGCCGCATGTCTTCCAGCTGCGGACTGCCGACTGGCGTCTCTACCTCTTCCAGGCACCGTGAGTTGGGGTGGAAGGCAAGCACAAGGGCCCCAGCTTCCTGTACCTGAGCCCTGCTCACTTCTGGTGGCTTCTGGCCTAGCCCTGGTGGAGCTGCCTGTTGACCAGCAAACCTCTCAGATGGGCAGCGAGAAGGGGTACTGCGGCCCACTCTGCCAGTGTGTGTCTGTCTCCTTGCAAGTCCACATCAGTCTCCCATTCCAGGAGGTCACTAACAGTTGTCATTCCTTGACATTTGATGTAAAATCTGTTGCCTTCCCAGATTTTCCTCTCTGGTGGATGAACAAGACCACCAGCACAGGTCAACCTCTCTGCCAGCTGCAGAGTTCTGGGTTCTGAGCTACTGTGAGAACATGGGAGGTGGGAAGTGGGGACCAGTGACAGCGTTGACTCCAGGGCTTGGGGACCCAATGGCCTCTGCATCCACAGCACTGCCAAGGAGATGACTTCCTGGATCGCACGCATCAACCTGGCCGCTGCCACGCACTCAGCGCCTCCCTTCCCCGCCGCCGTAGGCTCCCAGCGCAGATTTGTGCGGCCTATCCTGCCCGCGGGCCCGACCCGGAGCTCCCTGGTACGGCCTTGTGGGGAGGAGGTTTACAGGTATAGGCAGCGGGGTGTAAAAGGACCTAGAACAGGAGTGCAGACAGGAGCGTGTGCCTGCGCACTTGGCCTAAGGAGGGGTCAGGACAGCTTCCCACACCTCATCCCGCCCCCCTCCCCGGCTCCTAGGAGGAGCAGCATCGATCCCATGAGAACTCCCTGGACGCCGCCTCTGATGACCTGCTGGATTTGCAGAGGAACTTCCCAGAGCGGCGGGGCCGCAGCCGCGAGCTAGAGGAGTACCGCCTGCGGAAGGAGTACCTGGAGCACGAGGTGAGGTGCTTTGCTGGCTCACGCCCCGTCTCCTTGTGACCGCCCCCAGCCCTGTAACCTGCGCTCTTGGGCCGCTTGGGACGTGAGGTGCTTGAGTGCGTGGTTTGCACAGGTATGTGTGCACACAGGGTGTCTGTCCTCGTGTTCTAGGGACACAGAGCAGCCGCTTGTCAGAAATACTCTTAGGGGCTTTACTTTTATAGTTTTTTTCCTCCTAGGAGTAGTATATTTGGCTTTTCTTAAGTTGGAGGAAAAACTATCTTAGCTGAATTATTTCTCCTAATGCCTATCTAATAGTAACAGGCTGTATTTGTACAGCTTGTATTACTTGCCTGGATTACCCTATGAAATTATCTAACAACTATGATCCTCATTTTGTAGATGAGGAAACCGAGGCATGGAGAGATCAAGCAACTGGTCCAGCCTGATAAATTTACATGCTACTCCAATCATTTGTAGTATTGACTAAGGAATGACAGTTATTAGCTCTATGACTGATGTTGGGATGTTTTATCCTCCCTCCCCCACCCAAATTCTGCTTTGGCCTAATGTTGGTCACATTCTGGGACCTGAGCAGGAGGGGTAGGTGTGGGGTAGTGTGACAACAGAGGTGTCATAGGTGATCCAGAGGCAGAGAAGGGAGCATCCGTGTTGCCTGCTGGCTGTGCCTACTGAGTCCTGGCGCTGCCCTCTCCCTTCCTGGCTGTCGTTGTCCTGTGCCCCACTTGACCTCCTAGGCTGAGATGATGACCCAGTGGGATGGCGGAAGGGAAAGCACTGAGCAAACTGGGAACCAGATCTGGAGGGCACTCGTTACAGAGGCCTTAGGAGTGTTGAGCAGACGAGGGCAGTTGTCATCACGCTCTCCAGATGCCAATTGTCAAAATGCTGTTGAGGGCAGATGGTTGCCACCTATGTGCAGTGCTGGGCACATCTCAGGCCTGCTGGGTGTGGGGGCTGTTAATTCCAGCACTACACCGTGTGCGCTGATCGTGTTATTATAATCCCGTCCAGAGAGCAGCAGGCCTGTAGCACACTTCGCTGTGTTCTGGGTTGCTCAGGCATAACACAGACACTAGCCGTCGATCCAGCTTTCTTTCTGCAGAAGTCCTTATCTCCATAGCTCCCTGTGCACATGAGCTGTCACTCTCAATTCCAGTTGCCTCCTCACCTGGAGCCAGGTGGTGCTAAGGTGGGGGTGCCTGTGTTGCAGAAAACCCGCTACGAGATGTATGTGCAGCTGCTGGTGGCCCGTCTGCACTGTCCCTCAGATGACCTAGAACTGTGGGAGGAGCAGCAGGGGAGGGAAGCCAGAGGCATGCAGGAACCCAAACCCAGCCTGAAGAAGTCCCACTCCAGCCCATCTCTGCAACAAGACGAGGCCCCCACCACTGCCAAGGTGAAGCGCAACATCTCAGAGCGTCGGACCTACCGGAAGATCATCCCCAAGAGGAACCGCTATCAGCTGTGAAGCAGTCACTGCACAGACTGGCTCTGCTCTGGGGCACACCTGGGATGAACCCTGTGGGGAGCCCATCAGGGGCCCACGGTGGAGGTGAGGCTTCTTCCTCCCTGCTGAAGGGCAGCTTTCTGCTCTGAGCTTTCCAAATACTGCTGTGCCTGCCCCCTGCCCGCCCTCTCATGGCAGGTCCTCAGCTGTCCCAGTCCCTGGACAGTCCTGAGATGGGAGGGAAGTCAAGGATTTGGTTGCACTCACAGAGTTTGCCCATGTCACTCTCCACCCCTCCAGAATCCAGAGAGGTCCCAGTTCCTAGGCCTGGGAACTTGTTTGAGACTCAGAGCATGGTGGGCCCTGGGCTTCCGAGAGAGCCTGGGCATCAGAGGCCCTGGGGACGGTCTTGCTCTGGGAATCAGGTGACCTTCTGGGCAAGGCCCTAGGAGACCACAGCCAGCCTCTTGTGACTGAGGGAGCAGCGTCACTCAGGCCCTGCCCATGGAGGGGACAGCTTTCTAAGCAGGGATCAGTGAAGCTGATCTGGGGCCTGGGCCTCTGTCTCCTCTTCCGAACTACCATCGTCCCTGAGCGCCAGCAGCAAATGCGAGAGTCCCTGCCTCCCATGCCCAATTGCTAATCAACAGAGCAGAGCCGCAAGCTGAAAGGTGGGGGCCCTGGAGCTCTGCAGAAAGCCCTGGAACAAGGGACCTTTGTGTCCCCAGAGCCGGCCAGAGGTTCAGACCCCTGGGGAGGCCCAGACCCCTCCCACACACCCCATCCCTGAAAGCTCCTTTTCCCAGAGCCACCAGGCCCCCTCTGGACCCCTTCCCTCCTGCCCTACCCAGGCAGGAAGTGCCTTTGAGCTGCCCTCTGGCTGCTCCCAGCTGGGTCTGCTGTGGAGAGGGGTGGCATTCAGGACACTTAGATCTGAGACTGTGCCTGTGGAAAGGAGGCTGAGCTAAGGAGCAGCCACCATTGTTTCTGTTCACCCAAGTGTGCCTGCAGGCTGCCCGCCAAGTGGAGCCTCTCTGCAGCCCACCTGCCGCCTGCTGGCTGACGCACTGCCTCTCCAGCCTTCCTGCCAGCCCTCCTCCCGTCCTTGCTTGTAACCAGCCCTGGGACCTGGAATTCCTCCAAGAGGGGCTGGTCTGAGGGGGGCATGAGAGGTGTCTGACCAGGGTCTGGGGCTGAGCCATGCACCCAATGGGTGTGTAATAAATACAGGCCAGTGAAACAGGAGGTGTGCGCAAGTGTATGAGGAGGGGAGGATCAAGCAGCTCTAGGCAGCTGGGGCCACCTGCAGGTGTCAGGCTGCCTTCCCTCTGCCCCGCGGGCATACATGTGTCTGCCTGTATATGTGTGTCTGCATGTATATATGTGTATGTCATTATGCATGTCTGTATGCATGTGTGTAGACCACTGTGTGTTCGTGTGCAGGAGTGACATTTACAGACTGTCAAAGCTGGAGGGGACCTCAGAATAATTTATTCACCTACTCCTTCATTTATTCATTTCACAAATATTGGTTACTTTTCATGGGCCAGTACTAGGGGACTCAAAAATGAATCAAACATGTTCCTGACGTCCCAGAGGTGACAGTCCTGCCCTCTGGTTCCCAGCTGTTGACACACAGGCACACACATTTTGCTGGGGTGGAAAGCTGAAGACATGTTCCTACCTGTGCTGAGGGGTTTAGATGTGTGGTCTGGGTCCGGGGCAGGACGTGCATTCCTAAGGTCTCCTGAGTAGCTGTGTGTACAGTTCGCATAACAGCCCGGCAGCATCCGACTGTTATTGAGGTGGACGTGACTTGGCCTAGGACTGATGCTTACAGCTTGGTGGCCTTGGGTGGGTTATTCGCCCCCACTGGCCACGTAGCCTTATTTCTAATTCCAGAGTAAAGGCAGAGGTTTGTGTGCATGCGTGCATGTGTAACACTTAATGCTGCTTTGCTCATGTACGACCGGCACCTCTCTTCACCTGGGCATGTGAGGACTGGCAGAGCCAGGGATGGTGGCTGCCAGGCGCCCTGCTGGGCCTGCAGAGGTTGGGGAAGGGTGGGGGCAGACTGAGTTGTTGGGCTGCAGTTATTACAGGTGGCCACTGGGGGGCGGGCTTGCATCTTTTTGGCTTTGAGGCCCAGATGTCCTGCTGCCCCCTGGGCTCACTGACAGCAGGAAGTCAGTCTGTCCCCACATCGCCAGAACCAAGGGTGGCCTAGCCCGACCTCCCACATCTGGACATGTCTCTACCATACAGAGAGAGGAACTTTGGCATCTTTGTGCAGATGGAAGCAAAAAAGAAGTTTCTGGAGCTTTACGGGGCCAGGCTGGAAGCTCCCCACAAAATTGTCCCAGGAGAGCTACAAAAGTGAAAACAGCCCCAATCCTGGGTGTGGGTCAGGTCAGACCCATAGGCCTAGGTCTGACCTGCTTGCCTCCCCACCCCCTTTCCCACGGGCTGTGGGTTGGACCGTCTCTGTAAGAGGGGACAGCACAGGTTTTGGAGATGAGCTTGGGATCCTGGGCCCTGTGCCGCTCTCCATTTTCCTTCCAGGTCTCAGCATCTCTGCTTCGGCTGGCTTTGTGCCGATAACATCATTTGTCTGTGGTTTGCCAGGCAGGAGGGAAGAGTAACCGGTCACTAAGGCCCAGGCCTGGGTGCATCCTCAAGACCCAGACTCAGATGCAGACAACAGGTGGGCTGTGTTGGAGTTGGAAGGAGCTGGGCTGCAGGGTAGGGGGAAGCGAGGAGGGGGACTGAGACCAGATGGGAAGGGACCTCACATGCTGCTCAGGGGTTGGTTCCGAATGTAGCTGGAGACCATCTATGCTATTAGTGCAACTCTTCTGTAAGCCAAAATAAAAAAATGAAAGGGAAAGAAGACAGTGGCCTGGGACCTCTGGACGATCTGGCGACCCCACACCTGGCCCTCCTCCTTCTTTGCCCCCCAGATGCTTGCTCTTAGGAGTTTCCTGAAGGCCCGGCTCCCATTATCACTCCTCCCCCTGCTCTCTGCCTCCAGCTCTTCTGGGTGTCCCTTTCTCATCCCTCCTCCTGCCTGTACCTGTCTGCATTGCTGGGACTGAACCTGCCTGCTTCTCTGATACCAAGCCTGTGTCCCTCAGGGGTCTCGGTTGGGTCCATGGGCCTACTGTGTTTCCCCTTCATTATCTTGCCTTGCGAACACCTTCAGGTGTCACCACCATGAAGGGAAAGGTGGTCTTTCCAGCTGTCTCCTTTCTTCACCTGGCTCCTGCTCAAACCTTGTAAACTGGCTTCCACCAGACCCTCCCTAAAATGCCACCACCAGAAAAGGACCACTGATGACCCTCAGTCATCAGATCCAGTGTCTCTTAGCCTTCAGCTCGTCCCCTCTCAGTGAACTTTAGCCTTTCGGTCACATGACCTGTCTGACCTGCACAAGATTAGTGTGATACAGCCTCGGCAGCAGGCCCTGGAGTCGACGGCCTGGGTGCGGGTCCCAGCTGTCTCTTACGTCTGACCAGTTACTTAGCCTCTTGTATTCCAGTTTGCTTCTCTATGAAAGGGGATGATAACACTGCTTACAACACAAGGTCCTTGGAGAATTAGGTGGAGTTGTGCCCGGGAACATCCAGGAACAATGCGGGCATGGGAGGAAAATGGGCAGGCCAGCTGGCACCACACAGCCTCGCTGGCCTCCCTCCTCTGGACCCTGGCTTGGGCTCCGCCCTCAGACATGTAAGTCCCCTTCCAGGCTGGGTGTCTACTCAAGTCACAAGTCTCAACTCAGATGGGCTTTAGCAGGAAAGAACCTTGATTGGCTCCACTAAGAAAAGAAACTGCATGCAGGTGAGGCTTACCCAGGGCTCCTAGGCAGATGAGGCAGGAGCAGCCTCCAGTCCAAATGGCCCAACAGCTCCCAAGACCCCTTCTTCTGGGCACAAATCCAGCACACAGACAATATCTGCTCCTTGGGGATTGCAGATGCATGTCCAGGAACAGAGTTTTTTGAGCAGTCTACTGTGGCCCATGCGCCATTGGCCCATCTCTGAGACAATCATTAGGGCCAGGAGCTTCAGCCAGTCAGAACCCATCTTCTGAGATGAGTGGGGTGGGGAGGAGGCACACCCACCAAAGGATAGGGACTGGGACAGGCTGTGGGGAAATTCTGAGTCCTACTAGGAGCCAGAAGGGAAGAAGCCACAGACACTCAGATGCCATCTCCTCCAGGAAGCCTTCCTTGAGCCCTCCTGCCAGTTACTGTCTATCACACCAAGTCTGTAACTCTCTACATTTGTCCCCTCCTTTTATATCTCCCAGGAGAAAAGGCAGGCTGGTTTCCACTGCATCCCCATGGCCTTGTTTGAGACATGACACCTAGAGTCGAAAACCTTGAGCCTCAAGCTTTGTCCTCCCTGGCCCCCAGCACTTCTGTCCTGCACATTTGTTTTCTGTCTTTGCTCCCCCCACCCCTGAACTCAGACTCCACAGGTCTGGCTGCCTGTAAGGCCTTGAGGGGAGCAGCGGGAGACTCTCCTAAACTGAGCCTTCCACCCCATCTCTGCTCTGACTCTCAGACCCGCAGTTGTAACTGCCTGCAGGATGTGGCCCCTCAATAAATCTTCCTGGAAATAGTCAATTTCTGGACAGATGTTACTTATGACACCTAAGTCTGAGCTTGGCGCCATCTCCTCCCAACCTCTGTGTATACTTCTGTGATGGCTCGCCTACCACTTTGGCAGACAGCACATCAGGACGGTGAGGACACTGGAGCCAGACAGGTCTTCTGTTCTCTGATCTCTTTGTCTCCATCTGGTGTGACAGGCACAGGGTCAGGAGGTACATGCACAGAGAATTGAGGACTCCCTCGTCCAGCAAATGAGTCAGGCCAGTAGCCGGACAGCACTTTCACCTGGCCACTGAGACTCAAGGCCCATGTGCAGTCCCCTCGCTCTGTCACCTCGGTCCTGAGGCTCTGTTTCCTATTTGTATTTCGCTGATTTACTGCATTCCCTGTGAGCTATCTCAAAACCCCCATGAAACAAGGTGAGGAATGCATTAATATTTAAAATAAGATAAACAGAATGTCAATGTGTGTGCCCTAGGCAGGACATTCCTGAAGGGCAAGGACCATGTCTGTTTGTACAGCATCTGGCATAGTGTCACACTGAGGCTTACCAAATGAATTCTGATGAAGATGAGAAAGGAGCTGGCTGCATGAAGATACAGAGGTGTGGACCTCCAGCTGGGCCTCATCCAAATCCCTGAGCAAGGGCCACCCTTCCCCCACCTTACCCTGTCCTGCGTACACTGCCCAGGACCATGACCAACCATGGCCTTACCTGCACTGCTCTCTCACATACCCCTTCCCCCCACAAGCACCCACAGCCACACTCACTCACGCTTCATCCAAAACACCCACTGCCCGGCCACCAGGCCCGTCTGAGGCCCGGCAGCAGCACGTGGTACCAGGAAATGCCAGTGGCTGAGCCCTTGGAGGTGTCCCCAGGCATGTCTTGGCGCCATGGGGGCCTCCAGCCAGGCGGGGACCTGACAGGGAGGGAGAGGAGAAGCTGCTGCAGAACTCCAGATGCGGCAGTTAAAAGGAGGACAGAGGCAATGATCCTTCAAATTGCCACATCTGTATAATCTGCCTTTTATTTTCTGCTTCATGAAGTTTTATTTCCTATTATTTATTCACCTCCCCGCCCTCCCCTCCTCCACCACCTCATTCCTCAGCAGGCGACATGCTCAGATGGGCCCTGAGCCCTGGCCTGGGTGGGCCACCCCCATCCCACCCTTACTTTACCACCCTCACTCCCCATCCAGCTGGCTGCCTGAGAAGGCATCTGCTCCCCTCCACCCCTACAGGCCTTCCTTCCTCCCTCCAAGTTGAACTGGAGGAAACATAGGTGGGCGAGGGGTCATTGCAGGGAAGGCCTGTCCCCAAAGCCCCACCACTGTCACCACCCCTGAGCCGGAGCTTATTGGGAGGAAGAGGCAAGAACTAGGATTCAGCCTCTTCCCCACCCTCTCTACCCAGGACCCTCCTCTCTTCCTTCCAGCTCCTTAGACCTGTGGTCAGGGAGCAGGGCTGGCCCCATCCTGGTGAGGGCGCTGCTGAGATGGGAGAAGGCAGAGCAGGCAACATCACGCAGGGAGGGGCAGCTTCTGGTCTGGTTAGAGGCCCGACTCCCTCATCCCCACCCACTGTCGAAACAATGAGCAGTTCTGAGGAAGGCCAGGCCCTCAGGTGTCGGCTCCTGTCTGATTGCCCAGGCTGGAGGGAGTGGAAAAGGATGCACACATTTTGTGTCTTCTTGCCTAGAACACTCCTCATGGCTCCCTGGGACACAGAAACACAGGAGAAAAGCCCTTTCCGAGGAAGCGGGTCCGACTTCAGGCCCCAGGTTTAGGGTCTGCAGTTGGTCCCCAGTGGCTGCTTCATGGAGGAGACAGAGGGCAGACAAAGGTCTATGAGGTGTGAGGGCTTTACACACAGCACAGGACCACCGACAGCACTTACTGTGCCCATCATGGCTTTCCCACCTAGCTCTGCAAGTGACTTTTATGAAAGCCTCACATCTAAGCTCTGCTGGTTTTTATTTTTTGTTTTGTTTTTTTGTGGGGAGTGTGATCCAACTGGATTCACCTTGTTATCTCCTAGGTGCCAGTCAAAGGGTCTGGCACATAGTAGGTGGTACATGAAAGACTTTCAAATGAATGAGTGTGACGTCTCGTGCCCAGCCTATATTGACTGTGGCCAGTGAGCCCCGGGTCTGCCCCAGCCTGGCCGCCTTTGGACACCTGCTGTAGCTCAGTGAGCTGAAGCAGGACCCCAGGGTCCCTACGGCACCCCAGGGACTGATGCCAAATGTGAGAATGTGGTTTTTGCCTGTGGTGTTTAGTGGAAAATTACCTGGGGCGTTGGAAGGAAGAGGGCTTCATGCCTGACCCAGCCAGATGAGGCTGCTTTGGCTTTCACTGACCCAGGTGACTGTGGGATCAGTGTTAGGACTGCATGTCATCCTGGCCTGAGCCAGGTATTTCACAGCTGAGGAAACTCAGGGCCCCCAGGAGTCGTCAGTGGGGAGGCAACACCCCAGAACCAGGCTCTTTAACAGAGGCGCAGGGGATAAGGGTGATGACTTAATGACTAGGGCTGGTTATGATGGCAATAGCTAACAGGCTCCAGTGACCCCCACAGCTCAGCCCCTGGAGTGGCTGGCGGACCAGCCCCCACTCATCCCGTAAGGCCTGGCTGCTACTTCCCTTTGTGCCTTTCTCTTTTTCCCTTTGGTAGGAGATGAGTTTCCATTCAGACAGAGCTCATCCCTTACAGACAGTTTCTTTCCTGCTGCAGTGAGGTCCCTGGGGTGGTTGGTAGATTGGGGTACATGTGGAGGAACCAATGCAGCCCCCAGGAGGCAGAGAGCATGAAAAGGCAGCTTGCCATAGGTGACCAGATGAGGTGACCAGAAGCTGAGGTCCCAGCCAGGCTTGCACTGCCTATCAGTGCTCCTCGCCCCCACTCCCAGACAAACACAAAACCAACACAAATTCATTTATTTGTAAATGTGCATGTCTCCCACCCTAGGCTGCCCTGGATTTTGGGCAGCATCTGTGTGACTGTGGCATGTGAGCTTGGGCTGGGGGGAGGAGGGGAGTAGGGGTCTTGATGTGGTGGGGGTGCTGGCTCCACGATGGTGCTGGTTTGATTTATCCCTACTGAGTTCTCAGCACTTGGTTGCTCCTGGCCTCCCATGGCCCAACCCCCGACTCCACAACAGCCCCCAGATCAGAACAAGCCAATTTCCACACTGCACAGTCTCCTTCCCTTGCTGGAAGTCACATTTCCCTGGAAGGGCTGAGGGCAGTGCCTTGCTCCCCAGCCTGGCCCGCTGCCACCTGCACAGACAGAGGCACCCCATTTCCCCTCCAGAAGACCCAAGCACCCCCCTTCAATCTCCAGGCACCTCCCCGCAGTTTGGCCCTGGGCCCTGCTGCCTGGAAAGAGTAGGAGAAGGTGCCGTCCAGGGACGATGCTGACCGGAGGGGACCGGCCTTCCCTGCCACCTGCAGCTTTCTCCAGGGCGCTGGGTACCCAGCTCTGTTTGAGGGGCTTAGAGACTGGAGGTGGGCTGATAGTGGCGTGTGCCCATGTGGAATGGGTAGGTCTCTGCCATCAGAAGGTGAAGGTCTTGTGTGTTCCCAGGGCCCCAAGGAGCCAGAGCAAGAGAAGGTAGTGAGGATACAAGAAGTCAGAGAGAAGGGGATGGAGAAAGGGTGTTTTCTGAGCTGGGCCATTCCCACATCCTAGGGAGACAAAGGCATCTCAAATGGTGGTGGCAAAAGGAATAATTGCTTTGGACACAGCAGAAGAGGGACTGGGATTAGAAAATAAAAGAAGTGAAAAAAGGAAGGAGAAAGCGGTGAGAAAGGAGGTGGCCTCTGTGGGACAGGGACCATGCCTTCATCAGAATCACAGTTATGATCAGCTCAGCTCAGTGACTGCTGTCAGAAGGTGACACGCAACCTGGGCACAGGAACATCAGGCCTCCTTCAAGTGGGGGCTCTTCATGACCCAAAGGCTGGAGAGGGAAGACTTAGGGCCAAGGGTGGATCAGCACAGCACTCCTCCTCCATGACCTGATGCTGACCTGTGGGCCTGTCACCCAGGATAGCTCGCCCATTGGGAGTGGGTGGCAGTGCCCTAGGTGGCCCGTAACTGTCCCCACAAGCACAGCACCTGAGGCCTCTGCACAACTCTGGCCACATCCAGACACTGGAGGCCTCAAGCAAGGGTGCAGATTCGGCCTTAGGTCAGGGCTTAGGCTGCGGTCCCAGTCCTGTGAATGACCTTGAAAAGGTCATCTGTCATTCTATTTCCCCAAGTGTAAAATGGGGCCAATGTCCAAGATCAGAAAAATGGATGTGGACGATCTTTACAAACAGAAAGACACTAAGGCAATGTGATGGCTTTCATAACTTCCGAGGGTGAGGGAGCCCCCGTCCCAGGACAAGGTGGATGGTGGGAAAGGCGTGTGGGGAGGAAGCAGAGGGGCACCCTCGGCAGGCCCAGCGTAAGCAGTGGCACTAACTCCCCTGCCTGAGCTGTCCCAGGGCTGAGTGTGTGCCTGGAACAGGAGGGGCAGGAAAGGGAGTACTGAACCATGTCACCCACAGCACAAGCACAGCACAAGTCCCTTTTTCCTTTGGGGTCAGAGAAAGCCAGCCCCAGAAGCTCCCTGGGTGCCCTGCATCTCAGTGATTCATGGGTGGGGTTCACTGTGGCCCCAGAACCAGGTGGGGGCTGCCTCAGGGCCTCGGATGCAGAGGTTCCAGAGTGCAAGGAGCCTCAGGCATAATGGGGTCCAGTCCCGCTGCTAGGCTTGTAGCGAGAGGGAAGCCCCATTGTTGAAGGACCAGCCTCATCTCGCACCCCCTCAGAAGAGGCAGGGACCAGTTGCCTCCGTGGGAGGGTCCCCCCACCCCGTGGCTCCATGCTGTTCTTGGTAAGCACCCCTGGCCTTTCCTACCTCCCAGCCTTAGAGTCCCCGGGTGCTGTGTGTGTTGGGGGTGAAGATACCTTCCCTCTGACTCAACCCCAGTTTCTGTCTGTCCAGCTGTCAAATTCACCTTGGCATCCAGCCAGAGCCCTGCCCCTTGTTTTTGGGATCCCACGTGGAGAGGGTCCATACAGATAGCACACAGCACCTGGGGGGCCAGGCACCCTGTGGAGCAGAGCCCTTGCAGTCACCATAGTATGTGCCCCTTTGTTCTCCAGAACTTAGAAAGGGCTGTCCCTGTGGGCTTACTCCCCTTCATCCTGTCCCGGCCACCCCATGCCTCTCCATGGCTCCCCTGTGTTTAGGACCCTCCGGCAGCCTGACCAGGGCCCTGCAGTGTTGGAAGTGCTGGACTTACAGTAAAAGAACTTCATTGAGTCCACCGCTCCCCCCTCGGGCAAGTTGTTTCATTTTTTTCTGAGCCTCAGTTTCCCCACATGTAAAATGGGGCCAATCCCACCTTCTTTGGTGTGAGGACTCCACACTGCACCTGGCACAGTACAGCATAGTGCACATCATCTCCCCCCACATACCACCAGGTCACAGGTTGCTTCTGTGCACCGTGCCCGGGCAGGTGGTCACCAGCCTCCACGCTATTTGGGTGAATACGACTGGCTGGGACTGTCCTTGTGCTTATTTTATACTTGCATTTACTCAGAGCTGCAGAAGACAAAGCATAGGCTAGGTGGTGTGCGACATGCACGAGTCAGAGTGGGGGCTCCAGCCCCGGGGACTTCCTAGCCAACCCCAGAGCCTGAAATGGAGTCGTGGTTTATTGAGTTAAGCGGCAATGGTGGGCAGCCTTTCAAATAGAAAGAAGCAGCGAGGAGAGAAACCCAGCACGGCAAAGGGACAATTCAGTGAGAGGCCCAAGTACACACAGGGAAGCAGGCCCACACAGAGCTGCATTTACAGTATTTACAGTCAGGCCTTGAAACGCAAGCCCGGGCAAGTAGGAGAGGGAAACTACATTGCTGGCTGGGGGCACAGGGGTCTCCTCAGTGGGGCCTCCTTGGTTGGGCTGTGTGGGCCACAGGGCTGCTCTGCCTGGGCCCTTTGGGAAACCTGTCTCCCAGTGTGACAAGTCAGTGCTCTTTTGCATCCTAGCAGCAGGCAGGAGGAGGCCCCCTGATCACCAGTTAGAGCTTCTGGTTGACTGGACCCAGCACTCAGCCTGTGGCCAAGAGAGGGGGTGGGGTGCAGGAGGGGCCAAGAAGGCCAGAGCCTCAGCTCTGGGGCAGCCCTGAGGGAGGGACCCTCAGGGTGGCTATGACGTGGGCTGGACAAAAGGACGGCTGGGCCCTCAGCTCACTATGGACCCAACTGCCATCTGTCTCGAGCTCCTGGCCGCACCTGTCTCCCCACATTTCTCATTCTGTATCTTTTGGGATGGGACTCCTGCCCTCAATGGAATCTTGGAGGAGCGTCCAGCCTTCTCCGAAGCTGTTCTGTGGCTCATGGTTCATTAAGTCAACCACACAGGGAGTGACCCGTGAGGCTGGACTTGTGATTTTCATGTAATAAATAAAGATTCCTTTCGGTGACACTCTGGGGACTGTCCCAGGCTGGGTCCTCCTGCTGCCCTGTAATTCCCACTGTCCCCATGGTGACTACAGGTGGTCAAAGGCTGTGGCGGTGGTGGGTGGTGCACTCGGCCTTGGTGTGGAACTGTAATAATACGGGGAACCTGGACATGGCAGAAAGCAACAGCAATGAGTTGGTCAGAAGGTGCCACAACTCCGCAGCCCCCAGGCTCTGCTGACCTTTCAGACACCAGGCTAACCACTGACCCCACCTATCCCAGCGCACAACCCCGCTCCTCTCCACCCGGTTTCCTCCTCTGGCCCCTGCTCCCAAGACTGCTGTGACCTTGCCCCACCCTTGTTTTAGGGAGAGAGCAAAAGACAGCAGTGACTTCTGGGTAACCACACACACTGGGGGGCCATAAAGTTCTCCCCAGCTTTGCTCAGAGGCCACAGAATCTTCCTCCTCAGAACCAGAGGAACTGAAACCCTGACTGGTCAAGGGGGCCATGGGTTTGACAGCATTCATGATAAAGGGGGCTCTGCAAGAGGTGCCTGACCCCCCCATGTCTCAGTGCCCCCAGCATTTATGGCTAAACTGAATAGAAAGGTGGCTTGGAGTTGAAGTCATCTGGCAAACAGAGCCCAGGTCAGCCACACACACCCTGCCCCCAGCCATTTCTGGACCACCAGGAGGTAACAAGGGGGTGGGGGGTTAGGGTTGATGAAGGGATCTTGGGGGACAGACAGTCATGCCAGGCCTGTGACCGTGCCCATGGGGTTAGCCCCAGGGCTCCTCATCCCAGCCCTGCACAGCCCCCAGCCCCCACACTCACACACTGCTTCTCTGGGGTCCAGGTTAGCTAGAGGTCACCACCCAGGGGGCTGCGTGGGGTTTCCCAAGTTCCCCATTTCTGGGACTTGGTTTCCTAAAGAGCTTCCCTGCACAGCTCAGGCCCTGGGTGAGAGGGGTGCAAGCGGCCGAAGCTCAGCCTGTGGGCCTTGCCTCTGAAGCTTGTCCCCATCTCAAGCCATGTTCCAGTGCTGCAGTGGAACAGAACAGTTCTGTGCACAACGGGCATGTGTGACCACTCAGGACGGTGCTGCCATCAGCACACTCCCAGGCAGCGGCTCCGCCACTGCCTGCTGCTGCTGGACTGTGAACTCCTGAGGGCAAGGCATCCCTCCGAGACTTTTGCCATCCACCCAGACCCCCAAGGCCTGAGCTCTGGGTCCTACTCAAAGCGCAGATCTTGTAGATGTGGCCTTGGGCAGCAGGAGGGAGAAGGGTGCAGGGGTTTCTCCCTTCCGCAAACAACCAGACACCCTGACATACTGCCTGCCAGCCTAAGTTATGGGTGACCCTGTCTCCTAGGCACCTCGGCTAACCCAGGACCCACCTGCCCCGCACAGCCCCTGGGCACTTACTCAGCAAGCTGGAGTTGGGGAAGCGCCAGGCCTCGCTGTAGGAGGAGTAGGGGGTGTGGCCATAGGCGTTGCCAGAATAGTCACTTCCTGTTGGAGGCACACAAGTGAGAGGTGAGGTGGGTGCAGCACAGTTGGGCTGGGCTGGGGGCTGTGCAGGGCTGGGATGAGGAGCCCTGGGGCACAGGTGGAGCCACGGCAGGATATGGGACCCTTAGGTCCTTCGGGAGGCTCTGCCCTAACAAGCTTGGCCCTCACAGGAACTGCAGGAGGTAGGAAAACTGCGATGCATTTTCCAGGTGAGGGACTGAATCCTGGGGTCTGCAGGTGCCCACAGGGCCAGAGGGTTTGGTGCAGTGTGGGAGCTGTGACTCCACGGCCCAGGTTCCAACCACTTCTACTGCCCATGGACTGTGTGCAGAGGGGCCAACAGGCCAGGGAGCGAGGGGGACACTACAGCAGGAACCAGTCAGTGTGTAGACACGTGTTTTATAGGGATGGCTGTGCACGTCCCATCAGTGTCCACACTGCTTTTCAGAAAGTCATCACTGTCGGGAGCTGAGTGCCTCTGCAGCTCCTGGCCTCCTTCTCAGGCTGGGACTGCCTGGCCTTGGGTTACATCCCCACTCCCACTTCCTGCCTGTGTCACCTTGGACAATCCCTTAACTTCTCTGAGCCTTGGTTTCCTCATCGTAAAAATGGGGCCTATTTCGGTCCCTGTTTCCTGGGGTTTTCATGAGGACTGAGTTAGATAATGTACATTAAATGTTCAGCACCATGCTCCGTGTGTAAGAAACATTCAAATTTCTTGCTAGCTTTTATTCTTCTCCCATTAAACAGGTGCTAAAATACAGAGTCAACATCTGGGTTGGGGTCAGTGGGCTGCTTCCTTGCCTGACAAGTAGGCACTTGTACAGGAGGGATGGAAGCCAGGGCAGGGAGGCAGGGGCCCAGCCAAAGGCAGTGATAGCTAGCCCTTCAGGGGTGGGACTCTGTCCAACTAAAATCAAAACATATGTGCAAAAAAGGGAGGGATGGAAGGGGGGAGAAAGCAAAGGAAAAAAAAAAAACTAAGAAGTGATTTAATCCAACCATTGGTTTCCCAAATGAAGAAACTGTTACCAGAAAGGGAGTGACATTAACCCAAGGCCACGTGTATACTGAGAGCTGGCACTAGAACCCCCAACTCCTACTCCAGTTCTTGCACCCTACAGTGCGAACTGCCCTGTTTACTGCTGAGGTAGCCCAGATGCCCTGGCTACATAGCAAGGACCCCTGCCTCTGCCCCACCCGGTGCCAACACTGCCAGCTCCAAGGGACGGGAAGAGAGGTGGGATGCAGTTTGCCCTCTCGTGTTGTCACTCACTCGGCACACATTCACTTATGGAACACACATCTGCCTGCCCAGCACTGTCTGCTTTAGTCAGAGGGATGCTGGGGTCGGGACGGGGCTCAGGAGGGGTGCAGCGTCTTCCCACCACCAGGTCTGTGGGTGTCCCTCACCCACAAAGGGCTGGCCATCCTGTGTGCTCTGCATCCCACCTCACTCACCGTTTCAAGGACTCGGCCGCTACAATGGAGACCTCCTTTCTGCTTCATTGGTCTCTCCCTTTCTAATTCATCACTCCCTTTAGCCAGTAAAACATGCTGTTATCTTCTAAAAATCCTCATCCTAGCCCACGTACATCTCCAGCTCTCAGCCCCATCTCTGCTCCATGGTCCCCACCTACACCTCCACAGCCTCCTGCAATCAGGCTGATGCCTCACAACCCCACATCCTCTACCCAGCCACTCCTGTGGTCACTTATGTCCACCACCCCCTCTCTCCAGGTGTGCATCCTGACCCACTGGCCTCTCCACCTCACTCTCCCTCTGGTTCCTTTTCTATGAGAGCTTTAAAGGTTGGAGAGCCCCAGGGCTTGGCATGTGAGTCTTCTGTGAGCCTCCATCCACAGTCTCCCATGATCTTGTGTAATCCTCAGCATTAAATAGCAGCTCTGAACAATGGCAGAAATGTACACCCTCATCAAAATGGTTTCATAACTTCACACCTATGTTGTACCTACTGACTTCCTAAAGAGGGTATCTAGGAGGTGTCTCGATCCTAATCTGTCCCAATAGAACTCTTGACCCCCACCTGCCATACACTCTACCTCCACCTCTCCTAGTCTCCCCAACACATACTTGCTACCACCACCCATGCATCTTTCCAAGCCCCAAATCTAGGGGTCACCCTTGTTTCCTCCATTTTTGAACCCCTGCAGACAATTCACCAGCAAGTGTTGTTGGCGATGGATAGAAGATGGATGGATGGAAGGATGGATGGATAGAAGGATGGATAGCTCGAAGGATGGGTGGATGGATGGATAGATGGATGGAAGGATGAATGAGAAGTTATATGGATGTATGGAAAAAAATGTGTGTAAAGTTGAGTGGATGGAAAAATGGATGGGTGGATGGAGAGATCAAGCTATCTGGAGCTGTTAGAGCAGCTCCAGAACTGGTGTGAGGGTCATTAGCTGTGTTACTGTGGCAGGAATAACAACAACAACTAGAAGGCAAAACAAGAAAAATCTGTGTCTCATCCTGTTTCTGTGTTGCTCTCTTCTAGCTGGTACGGTGGGAAGCAGTGTGGTGTAATAAAAAAATTCCTAGGTTTGAAATCAAAACAACTCAGCCACTTGGTATGGTTATGACTCTGAGCACACCACTTTGCTTTTCTAAGCTTGTGTCCTTATCTTTATAAACCAGGATAATACCAGCTTCCCAGGCTTAGGGGAGGGATAAATGAGAAATAAAGTTAGATCTGTGAATGGCCAGGCACACAGAAGAAGTGCACAATAAGTGATCTCTGCCTTCCTGCCATGACTGACTGAAGGCCATCATTGGCATACCTTGCTGGAAGCATTTATTATGTATGTGCTCAATGAAGGTTTATTAATCTCAATGGAAGGAGCCCCCATTTGGTCAACTGGGAGATTGTGGTCACTGGTAAGAGATGGGCAAATAATTTTCTACAAAAAACTTAAGAATTCATTTACTCCATGGAGTTCCTAGGAACCAGGTGAAACATTTAAATAGCATTACATTTTCTGGAAATGAATTTGCAAGTAACTTATTAGGAGCCAACCCAACACACAAGGCAAGGCCCCTCCCTCCCTTTTGCAACTCACTTGCTGAGGTTCTACTGTTTTTATCTCCACAACACCCACTCAGGGTGAGGGCTTTCTGGAAACAACCTGGGGCCCTTTGGTGAGAGACCCATGCCTTCCAGCTACCTCACAGGCCAGACTCTGGGCCCCCGGAACCCTTGCCCTGGGCCTGCCCCTGGGATGATTCCTAATTAAGAGAAAAGCCTGGGTTTTAGCTTCTTCCTCCCTCTAAGCAGGCAGCAGGGGAGGTGGAGAGGTTGGAAGGGGGATGGGGAGCCAACTGGAGCCTGGGATTTTGATTGAGAGGCCCCATTATCCACACTCTTAAAAAAATAACCGAGTCTTTTCCTTTTTTATCTTGACCAATCTCATTTCACGCTCCAGAAGAGGAAGGGAGGGAGGGAAGGAGTCTGGGCCAGGAGGGAGAGGAGTCGGTATTCTGTATTTTCAACGCTGCATTAAGCACATCGCCCTGGTAACCAGGCAGCAACAAGTGCCAGCTCAGCAGGTTCCCAAGGAGCCAGAGCCCCTCCCCTCCCTCTGCCCAACAGGGCCCAGCCCCCGCCTCACACAGCGCACCAGACTGGGTGGCTAGCAAAGACAACCCCTGGGTGGGGGGCGGGAGCAGGCCTGGGTAAGGGTGCTGTCTCTGGGGTCAGGCCAGCAAGGCTGGACCAGGGCTGGCATGGGGGTCAGGGCCCCTTCCAGAAGCTCCAGGTCCTCACCAACCCCCTCCCCAGGCAGTGGAAATGTCTGGATTCTACCCTGCCCATCCTTCTTATGTGGTTCCTAAGAGAGACACTTGCCCAAAGAGACTCTCCTTGTCCTCCTCACTTGTCTAGACCCAAACACCCCTGGGCAACCGTTGGGTGATGACCATGTTGGTAGACAAAGAAACCCAAATGACTGGCAGGCAGGATTGCAGGACAGCCCAAATGACGATGGACAGATGCTCCCAGCTCATGTCACACTCTGCAGTGCTGTCCCACTTTGGAGTAGCTGGGACATGGGTCCCACCCAAGCAGGATTGGGTGAGTGTGGGATGTGAAGGGGGCTGTATTTCAACCATCGTCATATCATTGTCACCAACACCATTCATATTCAGATATTTCAGAAAGGTAAACCGAGCCTCACCAGAGTTAAGTAACTGGGCTTACGTTTAGCCCCTGGGTTCTGTGGCCCCAGGTGCCCTCCAGCAGGGCTCCCCATGGGTGGAAGTGGTGATCTGGGGTCTGAACAGCTGTCTGCTGCAGTTGCCCCCTTTTCATCATGGCCGGATGTGCGAGCGTCTGAAAAGGAGGAGGCCGAGCTGGGGACGGTGAAGGAGGCCAGATGATACTGGGGCCTCTTCGCCAGGCCTTTACGAGGAGATGCGCTCTCAGGTCCACCCTGCAGTGCCCTTCAGGAAGCCTGTGCATAGGACACTCGCCCCCTCATCCCCCTTTGCTCCACCTTTGGCGAACACTTCATCTTAACAGTGCCCCCTCCTCACAGCCCCTCCCTTACCTGCCACCATGCCTGCGATGGAAGAAGAGGCATAGCTGCCCTGCCCGCTGGTGGGGATGTGGGGTGGGTATCCGGGCAGTGTGGGCCCCACCATCTCTCGTCCTGGAAAGACACAACAAGGAATCATCCGCTGGGACAAAGGGGACCTGTGTACTTACTGTCATGTGTACTCTCTCCAAGCCCGCTTCCTCCCCCTTCTCCTCTCCCCTGCAGCACAGAGGCTCCACCTCACAGGGAGCACTTGCATTTGCAATTCTGTGGTTGTCCCCAGTCCTCACGATTATCTCGATTATCTCCGGGAATCTCACTCATCCACAAACACATCTTGGATGAGGAGGCTGGGGGCTGTATCTTCTGGGTCTTCCTTCCCCCATAGCATCGAGCATAGCAGTGGACACTGCTGTCCTAAATGAATATGCTCGAAGCCACTGGACTGAGAGCTCACACCCTTTCAGCCCCAGCTCCAAGCAGAGCCAAGAGCAAGGCCCTAAGGAGGGTGGCACAGGGCTGGCCTGCTGGCCCATTGCTATCCTGCTTTTGGGACCTGTGTCAGACAGTGCTAATCAATCACTGATCCAGAGCTGTACTCCTCCTGCTGCTGGCCTGACCACGGATCCAACCTATCAGACTTACAAGGGACAGGAGATTCAGGCTACCCCAACCCTGAACAGGAGCTGCAGGCCGAGAGCTATGCAGCATTTACACATGGCCATGAACCACACACCTGCCAATCCCATTCCTGAAAAGAGCCAGTTTCAGCAAAACAGACACCAGCTTTTTGCTTATCCATTTGGTGACGCCGAGGCAGCTCTGTGGGGTCCCATAGCCCTAGCTTCACCTGTGCACCTGTCCAACCTTCCCGTTTGGATACCCCTCCTGCCTTGGGGTGTGTCTCGCCCCTGCACCCTGTGCCCCTCCTTAAGTCCTGCAGGCCCAGATCAGACTCCTTCACCAAGGAATCTTGCCAAGGGGATGACACACTGGCCAGCCCAGGTCATGGCCGCCACCTCAGTGCATTGTCAAGAATGCCCATTCCACTCTCAGAATGCCCCAGTTTGGAGGATGAATTATTTGTCGTCCTAGCTCTTGGCCATGTTTAGGGTTTCTCAGCCTCAGCACTGCTGGCTTCAGGGCGATCTTCTGCACTGTGGAGTGCTCCACACCATCCCTGGCCTCTACCCACTGATGCCAAGAGCAGCTCCCACCCAGCGTGACAACCAAAATTCTTTCCAGATGCTGCCATATGTCCCCTGGCAGCAAAATGTCCCCTGGATGAGAACCACTGTGTTAGATTGTGACCACTGTACCTGATGCCTTCTGCCTCTGCCACACTAGGGGCTGCATTTCCAAGTAGGACTTAACGTGTACCCCCTGAATCCTGTCAACCAGCTTACCAAGTGCATCCCCTCTGTGGCACTACTGGCCCGACTTCCCTCCCACCAGGCCCATGACATCCATTGTACCTCAGCCCCATCAGGATTGTCTGGTGATGATGGAAGGAAAGGCAAGTGCCATGGACCCTCTAAACCATCAGCAGCACAGTAACAGACACATCCCTACCTATCTTTCTGGAGAGTCCCTGAACACAAGCTGCTAACTCAACAAATGCTTATGAAGAAGCATGATGAACCAGGCATTTCGTAAGAAGCTGGAATGCCAAATTAGCAAGGCCAGCCCTTGTCAACAAGGGGCATAGACTGACGACGGGAGAGGTGAGGGGGGACTGGGAGCCAGGAACCAGGGGCTAGAACCAGGACCAGGACTACTGGACTTCTGCCCTTCCTCTGAAGGGGGGTTGGGGAACCCTCGGTCGGTCTTATCTCGCTCCTGTGGCTCATTTCCCAAGTGCCCTCAGACCAAGACCTACATGCCCTATGCCTCAGTTTTCTCACACGCAAAATGTGAAAAATAAGTGGCCTTAGGCACCTTCTCACCATCGCTGTGATGTTGTTGGTGAAATTCAGAGCCAGGGTTTCATGCTCCAGGTGAACGCTGATTAGTGCCTTCAATAGATTCTATAAATTGTCACTTGTCAATGGAGCCCTTACATAATAAATCCTATTTGAAATGAGTCCTTCGTGTTCATCATTTGAAGCTGTGTTGATAAAAGTGAACACAGCCTCTGAGTTGCTTAACCTTCAATGTCCAGCTGTGGCTGGTGCTGGAGCACAAGAGGGAACCCACTGGGGTTCTACAGATGGGCTCGGCTCCCTTGACACAGGGTCTGAGCAAATGAGGGGATGGGAATGCAGGTGAGGAGAAGGGGACTTCCGTGTATTTAGGAGTAGCAGGAGAAGGCTGCACAGATTACCGAGGTACAGCCTGACATATGGGCAGCTCTCAGACTCAGCTCTCAGCCCTTGGACCAAGTGCCTGGCCAGCAGCCCACATGAGAGGGAGCGACGGGCGTCTTTGAGGGCCAGTGGCTGGAGCAAGAGAGTAACAGAAGACCCAGTGGTGGCTGACCCAGGCCGGACACTTTTCCATCCCTCTTCTCTTGAGAGAGAATCTAGGTCCAGGCCAGGTTGTGGCTGAGACACAAAGCACTTAAGCTCTCTGACCCGTGTATTCCCACGAGTCTTGTGAAGACCTGGGCTGGATGACAGGCTCACCTTACTTCTTGACTGAAGTAAGGGGCTTCCTGAGGCACTGTGTTGGGAAGGACCCTGAGACTGCATCTGTGTGACCACGATGGGGCTGGCAGTGAGCAGATAAAAAAGTCTTGGTTCTCAGGCCACGGATCTCCAGGGCTGCCCCTTCCTCCTGTCCTTCTCCTGTTCCCGTCACTTCCTCACCCTGCTGCTTCTTGAGGCAGCTCACTGGGCAGAGCCCCAGGGCACAGGCTCCCCTTAATCCATAACTTAATTCAGCCACAGTTGTCCCCTGAGTCAGCTCCCATGAGAACTAACCCCCAAATTGCTCTTGGAAATTGAACTCATAAGCCTCACTCCCCAGTATTCTCAGATTTTAACCTTTGTCCCCTTCAGTCACCTAATTTCATCCCAGTAGGGCAAAGATAGCTGAACCAAATGCTGGCACAGACCCTAAAGCCGCCTCGTGACCTTGGCCTCCTGGACAAGCCGGTAAGACTCCCTTCAGGGCAGTCCTTTCCCAGACTGTGGTCATAAATGTTCCTGCCAGTCCCAAAAAATTCTTCGCTTCAATTCCTTAAATACATGGTTTCTTCCCCAAAAGCCAAGAGCCTTGCAACCTTCTTAGAAATGAAGCCGTGAAGTGGAGGCCCTCCATGGTGGCCTCACCATGCCCTTTCATCCACTTGTTTCTAAGGCTGTTCACCATAAGTTTATCTTTGGTTTGTAATTCCCTGCACTGAAATACACTTCCAGTGCTGTCCTATTTTTAAGAAGTTGGCCCAGACACAGGTCTGCGTTGACTGGCTGTGAAGTGGGGTTATATAAGCAAACACTACCACCCCAGAAAAATGTTGGCAAATTTTATAAAGACTGCTAGAGAGCAGGATCAGGACACCGTGACGTGGAGGAATTCAGAGGGCAGAGGTGGTTTCAGACCATTTTATTTGCCCCCTTTGATGTCTGCCCTCTACGTGACCCTTTTCAGTTCCTTATCTTGTTCTGATAGCATGGAGAATTTATGGCAATTCAGAAATCTCTCTGGCAGGACTAAATATAATTTTGCACAAAAGGATGGAGGCGGGTAATAGACGCTTTGATGATAAAACCAAACTCAGAGCCTGCAGACCAGCAGAGCTGGAGCAGCCAGGACCAGGTACCTTGAGGTCACTCCTGGCAAGTGTGTTGGGACCCCAGGCGGGGCATCTGAAGGGAGTGGGGAGGAATGTGGGGTGACCTACGTTCCCCAAACCCGGGTGTTGCTTGGTCTTGGCTGGTTGGGGAGAAGCTGGGAGCCAGGACAGTCAGGGTTGCCGGAATGGGAGAAGAGTGACTCAGGGGATTCTGTCAAGCAGCAAAGGGTGCAGGAGGTGGCAGGAAGGTCCTCAGGAAGCTTCAGAGGAGGAAGGTCCCCAAAGGCGGGGGCTGGGCTGGCCATGGAAAGAGCAGTCACCACCTCCCTCCTCTCCCCTTGGTCCTGGCTTCCTTTCCTCCCTTTTGAATTTACCTCCTCCTCCCTTGAATATGTGTCCAGCCCCCACTCCCCAGCCTGCAACCCTTCCTTCTCTCTGGGCCTCCCAGTCTGTTCACCCTGGCTTAGAACATAGCAGGTACCTAGGTCCAATCTCAACCAGGGGCCATAAGTGGACAGTCTTCAAGGAGATTCAGGCCAACACCTGGGTTCGGCATGGACACCAGCCTTCACAGGTCTTGTGTCTGGCCACAGAGCTGTCCCAGCTCTTTGAACTGTGGCTCTTGACAACCTGCCTGGACCCAGTCCCTTGAACCTGAGCACTGCTAGCTCCTCTCAGGGCCCCTGCCTCTGTTCTGGCTGGGCCCCACATCCACCATTGGCCCTCATGGAGGTTATACTCTATCTCCGCACAACTTGGGCCTGGCTCAGGGCCACCACTTGAAGGAAACCCAGTGGTGCACATCTTACAGCTGGTATGGAGAGTGGGCACATCACCAAACTCGGAGCTGGTAGAAGTTGGAAGCGTCCCTGATCTTATTACAGGTTGACGGGGGTGCTTGAAGCCATGACAGGGTGACAGGGAGGGAAGAAAGCAAGGGGGCTTCGGGGTAGGGCATTTGCCCTACGCTGTTCCAGCTATACTTCATGCCACCACCCAGGATGTGCTCCGACCCCTCACTCAACTCGTCCCATCATTTCTCTGACTGAAGACTGCTCTCTGTCCTCTCATCTCATACCCGCACCCTCCTGGCCCTGCCTGCCATTCATACAAGGCCGGCTGGTCCACCCCACAGGGAACAGGGCCTCTTCTGCCCCCTCCCTCATCCCATTTTCTCTGGCTAACATCACCTCATGCAGCTCACAGACTTTCTCTTTTTATCACTTTGGTCAAAATAAGTGACCCATCACCACTGACTTCATTCACCCTCTTTTGAAATCCTGAACTCTGAGTCAACACTTTCTTCCTTGCTTCCCACACACGGGGCTTCCCATGTTAGCCCTTTGCCTCTGTGTCCCCCTCTTCCAAGAGGGCCTCCCACATCAGACATGGGGCATACACACAGATCCCAGGTGTGCATTTGGTTCCAAGAGGGGGATAAACTGGGCAGTGGACAAGCAGTAATTTTCAAGGAAAAACTTTCATTTCCAGAAGGAGTAGCGAGGCCCAGCACATCTGAAAACCACTGGTCAGAGGGCCATCCCCCTCCTGCTGTCCCCTGGGACCTAGTTCAATGCCTGGCCCATGCCTGAAGCAGCGTCCTCCCTGTCGAGGCCCCTCAGATATCTGAGGGCCAAATGGGACACTGCCCCCACCATCACTGTGCCCAAGCAAACACCTCATGCTTTCAGCCACCAGGCCAAGCGTCACCTGCCGACACCAGGCTCCCATTCAGGGCCTCAGCCAGGCCCTCCTCCCCCAGCCCTTCCCCTCTCAGTATAAAGGTATTTGCTCAAACACCCCCAAGGTTCTTCCAGCCTGGAAGAGGAAGAGTTTTGAGGCCGTGAGGCTCCTCACAGACGTGCCTCACTCCCATCTCCCAGGTATGTGAGTCACTCTGCTGAGCATCCTCCAAGGGTGGCACTGTGAAGCCTGCACCACCAGTGCTTCACCATGTGGAGACCCAACTGTGACTGGCCTCTGCCTTCTTTAGAAATCTGGTCCAGAAACTGTCTCCAAAGTCCAATGACTTCCCTCCAAACTTTTCTCCTTCCCCCCCTGCCCCTCTTTTTAAAGTGTTTTACCCAGACCAAGGGCTCATTGCTTCACAGCGCCTGCCTGCTGACCCCAAGGCCATGTTCTGGAAATCTTCAGGGAACCCTACTTCTAGGCACCCCCAGAGTGCCTGCCCTTCAGTGGCCTGAATTTGCTGCCTGGAGACCAGCACCCTGGCACCTCCTACAGTTGCTGGGGGTTTGATAAGAGGCTGATGGTAGGCAAGACAGGGTCCAAAGAGGGTGCCGGACCACCTCAAACCAGGGGCCTGGCCCTGAGGACCCTCCCCCCGCCAGGACACCAATGGCTGCAGGCCCGGCCCTCCCTGTCATACCTGAGAGGAGGGCCTGGCCCGCGAGCTGCCCGTACACGGAGGCAGTGTGGGGAAAGGCATTGAAGGGCGGGACCGAGGCTCCAGCAGGGACCCCAGAGCCGACTTGCTGCAGGTCCAAAAAGGCGGAGCTAGATAAAGAGGAAGGGGTGGAGCTAGAACTGGACACCTCAGGGCTTTCCTGCTTTATGGCGAAGGGTGAGTGAGGATCTGTGTGGGAGGGAGACAAGGACAGAGGTGAGATGATGACGGTGGGAGCATGCACAGCTGAGCCATGAGATGGGGGTGTGGGGTGGGGTGGGGCGGGCAGCCACCCTCCTGGATCTGGGGCAGGGGGCCATGGGAGGGTGCTCCCCAGGCTGGGAGAGGCAGGGAGCAGCTCCACCTCTCTGCAGTGCCTCTGTGAGTGTAGACGAGGGCCGCTGTGCCCACCTGTCCCGCAATGGGGATGCTGAACAGAGGGTAGGACCCTCATGACCCACCAAGAGGCCCAGCCACACAGCCCCTGTCCTGTCCGGGCCCGGGGCCCTAACTCCTTCCTCCTCAGGCCAGCCACACCCTGCCCTCACCTTCCCTCCAGCCCATCCTAGCAGCTAGGGCCACAGGGCCCAGGAGGTTCTGGGCACCCTACCTGCCACCACGGGATAGGTCTGATGAGTCGATAGGTTGCGCCCTAAGGGTGTGTTGGACGGGGTCAGGGTGGCCTTTCCATCTTCCAGGGCACTGTTGAGCAGGGGCAACGGGTAGAGACCCTAGGGAGAAAGAGAAGTCAGCACAGAGGCACTTGGGGCAAGCCTTACCTGCAGCCGCCTCCTGGGAAACACCCCCTCAGTGTCCCCTTTTTACACTCACTCCACTTAGTGGGTTCAATTGGCCTTACTCTCTCCCACAGCCCTTCTGTTGTCTCAATCCCAGGCTCACAGGGCTGGTGGCATGCAGGATGGAGCGGCTCTTTCCTAGGGCCTTGCTGCTGGACAGCGGGCCCCTTCCTTGTCTGCTCATAGGGTTTGAACCCAGAGAGGACAGGATGTGGAGTAGAGCCCAGAGAGGACAGGATGTGGAGTAGAGCCCTCAGCCAACGGACTGTGCTGAGTGCCTCAGTCAGTTCATTCGTTTATTCCTTCCTCTCCTTGTAGGAAACGCAGGCGCAGAGAGGTCAAGAAACCTGTCACTCTCCCATAGGGGTGGAGCCAGGGTTGAACTCAGGGACTGGCTCCAGTGCCCTGAACTGGTTAACATCATCACCACTTCCTACATTTGCAAAGGGCTTTGCTTCTGTTGTCTGATCTATCCCCCACAGTGATGTGATGTGGGTGAGCAATGTCAGGTGTGTCTTCCCTGTGGACAGCCTAGAACCCCGAGGCCCCTGCCCCTGCCCCAGGCACTCCCTTCAGTCACTTGACAGCCGTGGCTCCCACAGGACAATTGGGCTCCCTGCCTCTCTCTCCATATCCAGCAAATAGAAATGCTCAGCCACAACTTGAAGATGAAACCAGGTTTTCTTCAATCAACAACATTTTAGAACCTGGTTCAACGCCCTTTGACAAATGCAGGGCCATCTATCTCTTCAGGTGCTCCCTCCAGGAAGAACTTGTTCAGTTAAAGGCAGGCATGCACCGTGACCCCTCCCACCAGGGGCTGAGGCAGCACACAGCACACACATGTCACAAACATGCCACGTGACACTGTGTAAAACAAGTCAAGGGACACTCCGGGCTACGCAGCAGCCAGTGATACCCATCAAGCCCACCCTCCAAGGAGCCGGGCACCTCTGAAGGCCACCAGGGCACCATGTCACAGTAGTCACTGCCTCAGTGGTGCTCTGGTCCCATGCCTTCCAAGGGCTTGCCTTAAAGGTGGGGGCTAGAGGGGAGATGCTGACAGCCCAGCTTAATGAAACCAAATGCAGTATCTAATTTCTAGAATAAGGAAAGTCTAAAATGCCTTATGAATGTGTCACTTCAATACCAAAATACCTGCTGAAATCCTATAGCTGCTCCCAAATCCAGTGAAAAAAACCCCAAACCTATGTAGTCAGACATTTTGGTGATGTCTCACAGAATGGCTCCACCTCCCAGGCTTTCTGGTGGGCACTGCACTGGAACTGGGCACAGAACTTGGGTGAGCCCTGATTCTGCTCCAGCAGCCTAGCAGCTTTAGTGCCCTGACCTCTCTGGGCCGTGGCTTTGTCACCTGTGTAACTGGTGGCAGGACCTGCTGCACGAGGCTTATGTGAGGTTTATATACGCATGGAGCACTAAGACAGAGTGCTTGGGGACATGCGTGCTCAGTAAATAGTTACTATAGGATGACTGTTTCAGCCATGTGAAACAGTTCTCATCTCATCACAATCTGTCTGCCTGCTTCTTAATGCACTTGAAGAACAGAGGGACAAGCACTGCAGACCCCTAACTATACTTGGGAGTGATACTGGCCACTTCTGCCCAACAGATGGCATGTCTTCGCCCGGGAGAACATGGTACTTCTGGGTAGCATCAGCAGCCACCAAGGCTGGAAGGCACCTCGCTAGGCAGGGCTGTCTCTGCCCCTCACCTGAAGTGAGGTGGGTGAACGAGGAGTGGATGACTGATGGGGGAACACTGATGGACATGCTGGGCCTCAGTATCCCCATCTAACACAGGTGACAGCAGGCCAGTTTGAGTGACACCAGGGGCTCTCTCCCCTCTTTGGCTCTGGCTCATCTCCACACAAATGGAGACACTGGGTTTGCTGGTCCCGAGGTCCTTGTAGCTGTGACTCACTGCATGATTTCCTGTGCATATACCAATGTGGGAGGGTCTTGGTCTCCTTGTGACAGAACAGGGTCCCTTGGGGTGCTTGGGAGTGGGCCTAGCAGGTGCCCAGGGCCTTCGTGGCAGAGTTCCTTGGAGGCGTGTGCTGGCCCTGTCCCCAGCTGCTTACTGCGGCTCCCTCTGCACCCCTCGCCCAGGCCAACAGAAGTGCTGATGCAGACTGCCTGCCCAGGTGTGGGTGCTGGTGAGAGCCCAGCCGCCCAGATGGCCACTGGCAATGGTTCAGCCAACTGGTGGCATCTGCGTCATTGTCCTACTCAGATCTTAAAGGTGTAAGCGCTCGTCTCACTCCTGGACAATGACAGTATGAGCAAAGAAGGGAGGGCAGACACCACCCTAAAACTGCTGAGGTGCTGACCAGCAAGGTGAGGGGGACACATGTGGCAGTTGACAGATCATAATTACCAGAGGCAGTGTCCTGGGAGCTCTGTCAGAGTAGAGGGACTTTGCTGGGCCATCTCTGCCAGCCTCAGAGAAGCCAGACCATAACAAACTGTCACCTGCTCTGAGTGCTGCAGATGACAATGGCCTTGGAGCTTACAATCGGCTGTGGGTTTTTCAGCTTGGTCATTGAAACCATCCTTACTGAGCATCTCTGCCAATGGGCACAGGGCTTAGTGCTGGAGATTTAAAAAGTGCCCCAAGATGCTGCCCACTATGATGTCACATCTCTGTCCACCGGACTACTGCGATCCAGCATGAGAAGTGACCAGGAGTGAAGGAACGCACGCCTGGGCAGCACTGATGGGCAAGGTGGCGCTTCGGCTGAGTCATAATGGCCGAGCGGTGTTTTTCCAGGCAGAGCAGTGGGAGGAAAGGCACTGTGCGCGCGAGCATGTGGTGTGCCAGGGCAGGGAGGCATGACAAGAGGGCGTGCTTGCATCCTGAGTCACACGGGGTCAGGGGGGGAGACCTGAATGGCTGGAGGTGGGGCCACAGGTGCTAGCTGAGGTCACTGTGCAAGGTTTCAGGAGGTAGGACCTGACCCTGTGTCCAGGAGGGGGATGGCACAACTGGGAGGCAGGTCCCCTGAAAGGGCTGAGCTCAGTGTGGCTGAGGGAAGTTGAGAGGGCTGGGGGGATGAGGAGAGAGTGCTGGCCTCCGCAAAATAGCAAGTGTTTGGAGCCGCACAAAGCTTGTGCCGAGGAGCCATTGAAGGGACTTCTGGTTGCTTTGGTGGCAGGACTGCAGGAAGGTTGGGGTCCTCAGAGGCCTGCTACTCACCCAGCATCCTGCACGCCCTCTCACCTGCTCGCTTTTGGTGTGGCTGGGGGAGGCGTAGGCCTCGGGGTAGAGCTGTCGCTCCAGGGGACAGTCGAGCAGCTCCAGGTGGTGCTGGCTGAAGGCATCTGTGCGAAGGTGCTTGCGGGAGTCCATGCTCAGCCGGCAGCTATCCTGGTCACCTGGCATCCCCGGGCAGGGAGAAAGCTTTCAGGGGACCCATCTACCCACCAAGGCCAGAATGGGGGACAGGCTCAGCTGCACAGGGATGGAAGGACCTGTTGGGGCCTCGGGCCGCAGGGCTGTGGCTGGCTCAGTCAGGCTGCATGCTGCAGGCCCCCGAGCCTAGGAAGTACTGGGCCAAAGGGGGGCTTTTGCACCCCAACCTGCTCTCTGTGCCCCACACTCACTGTTGTCCATCTTCCTCTTGCTGTCGCTGCTGGGCTGGGCAATCCCCAGAAGCCCATTGATGGAGTAGGTGGAGCCCAGAGAGTCGGACTGCGGTGACTCCGGGGGTGTCACAGCTGAGCTGGGGACTGCAGGGTGTGAGAGGGACAGGGTCAGGATGTGAAGGGACACCCTGAGAGCCCCTGCTGCCACCATGGAGGAGTTGGGCTGCTGGTGGGAAGGGCTCTGCAGTCAAGGCTGCATGATGTGCTTTCACCCTGAATATCTCAATGACTGGTCCCTGGGAGCCAAGCAGTATTTGACCCCATGGACGGGCTCAGTGAACCCAGGGCGTGTATGGGACCCCGTGTGGGCGCCTGAGGCCCCGTGGTACTCACTGAGAGTGTGTCCTGGGCTCAGGGACTTGGTGGCCACGCAGCTGTCCATGGGGAGATTGAATGGTTGCTGCACTTTGGTCCGGATGATTCTGTGAGGAAGAGAAGAAAGGCCGGTGGAGACATGAGGAGGAAGCAGGCTGCTGGTTGCCCCACATCCAACACCTTTTGAAACCCCACTTGGGTGTCTCAAAGGCACCTGACACAAGTTGTCCACATTAAAGCCACCATGTTCCCCCTCACACCTGATCCTTCTTGGTGTTCCCAACTCATGGTGATGCCATCACTCAGTCAGGGCAGAAATGCCTCCTGTTCCGCTGCCAAACCACCATTGAGCACTGTATTCTGACCTCACACCTCTCCAGCCCCGGTCCCTCGCTGTCAGCACCCTGTGTACCACCAGCCACTGCCCAGGCCACCCACCGCCCACTCCATCCACTATTGACCTTTCTGGTATCTTCTCCCTGTTGCATCCAGACTGGACTTTCTAAAAGACAAGTCAGTCTCCTGCTTAAAACGGCCATGGCCTTCTTGTTGCTCACGGATCAGAGGCAAGGACATGTAACCTGCCTCCCAACCCTGCTGTGTCCCCTGCTTGGGCAGGTTTGCGCTGCTGCATGGCCAGATCCCCCCTCCCAACAGCCTTTGCTGGCCACTCCATGTCAGCCTGCCTTTTGCTCCCCTCCTCTGTCACTGGCTCTTTCAGCTTCTTGTATAACAGCCATAGGGCCTTTGCATGTGCTGTCTGAGAGCTCTTTTCACTCCCTTCTCAGCTAGTTGACTCTTATTCATTGTTTCTTTCTCAGGCATCTTTCCCTAACCTCCCTTAACCAAGTCACCTTATGGTGGCTTGTATACCCTCATGTTCCCCCTGTCTTGATCAGGACTAGAACTGCAGTTTTACAACTGTTTGTGTGGGTACTTGATTAGTGTGTGTCTCCCCAGGTGACTGTGAGCTGTGCCAGGATTGTGTGTCCCCAGGGCCTAGCATAGGGCAATGAATTATGTATGTATGAATAAATGAGTGTCAGCAAATGATTGAGTAAGGTAGTGAGTGACTAACCAAATGGCCTAACAAATGAGTGAATGTCTGAATGAGGGCCAAGTTGTGGCCTAAGAAAGGATCAATTTAAGAAGAGGGCTTTTTCACTGAATAAAGAGGCTGTGGCATGTAAGGAGGGGAAGTGCAGAGAGTATAGCCAGTCATGTGACACCTGCTCTGTGCCCAGGGCTCCTAGCACGAGGCCCCTTCCCAGCTCTTCCCCATAAGCCAGGCCCTTCCTCGGGTCTCTGTCATGACCCCCAGGCCCCTGGTTGCTGTCTGCATCTCACCTGTTGATGGAGCTGACACTGGGCACAGTGTCATTGTCACAGACGCCCTCAGCCAGGAGCCGGTCTCGGATCTCCCAGGCAAACATGGTGGGGTTCTGCCGCTTGTAGTCGCCGATCTTCTCCACCACCTTGGGGGTGGCCACCTTGGGCTTGGAGCCACCTATCACCCCAGGCCGGATGCTGCCAGTCTCGTAGTACCTACTCCATTAGAAACCCAAAGATTACCCAGGAAGCAGGCGGGTCTCCTGGCGTGGGCTAGCCAGAGGCCCTCATCCCCTGAGGCTTCTGGGGGGTAGGACATCACTCAGGGCTGGCCTTGGACACTTGCTGTCCATTGGCTGTGTCCCCTGCATGATCAGGTTGTGCTGCTGCCCAGCCAGACCTCACCCCTGGATGCCCGCTTCCCCCTTTCCCTCCCCTCCGACCAGCCTCCTGTATCTGAGGCCACTGTATGGGGCAGAAGAGTCCCTTCTGAGAAAGGAGAAGTTCACATTGGTGCCCTGTGAATGCCGGCCTCACCTAAGCCATTTCCTCTGTCTTGCGTGACTTGCTCTCTCATTGACTGTCCTGATTTTAGCCCTCACCAAGAGGCCAGCTGGGGTGGCTGGGCCCCCTGCCCTGTCTGCCAGGTCACCTTTGCTCCCCATCCCCCAGCCCATGCTGCACACTGGCTTTATACCAGGTTACATGGCTCAAGTCAAGGCCACTCCTCATGGACTCTGGAATCCCAGCCATGTCTGGATGTCTGGCCATGTCCAGCTCCTTAAGCTGAGCCTTGTCTCCCTCCCAACCACCTTCTTTGGCCGACCCATGGCCACGTCAGGATGCCCTCCCCTCCTTGATCTGGAAACTCTGGTCTCCTCTGAAAAAAATAACCTCTGTTCTTGAATCTATTGCCACCATCCAAAGCTCAGCTCCTCTCTTGGACACGCAGACCAGCCCAGGTCCCCTCTCCTGACCCCAGCAGAAGCCACACTCTTCCCTAAGTTCTTCAGTCAGGAGGCCAGGGCTCCCCAGGCTCGACAGCTTGACAGCTCAAATCCGTTCACCCTTCTGAACCGGAGCACCCCTGGATTTGCTTGTGGGTTGGAGAAGGGAGGCAGGTACCTCAAGCTGACTGGGGCCCCAGCCCTCTGCCTCAGGGACCCTTCTGATGGGAGAGGCTGCATCAGCTTGGTGCTGGGCTTTGCTGCTCCTGGTCCCCTCAAACCTCTGCTCAGTGGTTCTCAACTCTGTACAAAACCTGGGGACCATCTCTTAAGGTTCTGCTTTGAGGGTGTGGACTGGGGCCTGAACATCAATTTTTTCTTTAAGGCTCCAGGTGACATTAACTTGCAGGGAGTGTTGTGAGATACTGCTTTGGGTTAGTGTCCATGAGTGTCATCTGTCATCTCATAAAGCTCCCAGCATCCAGGTCTGTGGCAGGTCTGGGCGGGGCCTGGGAGCTGTTCTATCAGGCCACCTGGTGGTTCTGTGGCAGGTGCTCTGGGGATTACAGTCTGAGAAGCAGGAACTCAGATGCCCCTTGTGCAGGGGTTCAACTTTGGGAGCCAGCCATGATTGCGTGTCCCCTGCCTAGTGGCTCCATTTCCCTTGGTCTCAGCAAAAAGGAGGGACTTTGGGGACAAATCTGCTTTGGGAGCACAGAAGCCTCTGGAAAGTGAGGCATGAGGTGAGCAAATAAGGGAGAAATGAAAGAGAGGCAGGGATGGCAGGAGTAAACTGAAAGCAGCGGCTGGGGCCCAGAGACACCACACGCCCTCTCTGGTACCAGGTCCCGGGAGGGAGGTGGCTGTGTGTTTGGTGGACACCCCAGCCCTGCAGGAAGTGGAATGTGGTAAATTTCGTGCTTACCTGCCCAGGATCTTGCTGACACAGCCATGGCTGACACGGAGCTGGCGAGAGATATCACAGGGCCGCACGCCCTGGTGGGCCAGGTCCACGATGCGCTGACGCACCACTTCGGGCAGGGGTCTGCCATTCACGAAAGCACCTCCCAGCTGGTTCAGCCCCCCATGGCCTGAGAGGACAGCAGCACTGTCAGGCTGGTGGGCCACCCACCCACCTACTCAAACACGCAGTCTCAGCAGGCCAGCCGTGTGAAGGCCTGAGGGTGACGGGACCCATGTGGCAGGGTGACCCCTGCCTCTGCCTCACGGGTTTATCAAAGTGGGATCCAGACCACCAACAGCCCATTAACACATCATGTGACCACTGCTGGGGCTAGGAATGCGCAGAAGGCGTGAAACCATGGAGGGGACCAAGCCCAAGCTCAGGGACCACAGAGGGTTCCTGGAGAAGTTCACACTGAGACTGAGGGTAAGAAGTAACTGAGAAAAGGGAGAGTGACAAAAGTGTCCCAGGCAGGAGAACCCCAGGCTGAGGCTGCCAGGGGCTTATCTGTCAGGTTGGCTGGTCGCCCAGATGTGGTGGGGCTCATTTCAGAACTGAGATCGCCATTCTGATGAGGACACTGGGGCTCAGAGAGCGTTTTAGTGGCTTGACCCGGAGGACCCCTGTGACTCAGTGTGCCTGTGTTGCAGCCAGGCTTGGCCAGGACCTATGGCTCTCACTGGCCCTGCTGCCTGACGTGGGCCCTGCTCAGAGGCCACAGGCCCCACAGTCCGGGCATCAGCAGACCAAAATGTGGTGACCGGCTGTGATGGTGGGGCATTAGGGGTGGAAGTCAGGGGAGCGGTTAGGAGGGAGAGAGGGCCATGAGCTCATTAAGGACATCTATGGCCTCTGCTGGGCACACTGTACCCTTTAAAGCCCACTGACTTAGCACATTCAGAACTGGGTGCAGCATCTCCTCAGGGCACAAGCTGTCTTCAGCAAGACAGTCAATTTCCCTCAAAAAAAAAAAAAAGCCTAAAGCCTGTGGCCTGGGCACTAAGTCAGAAGGAAAAGCCCTTCGGGCAAACATAGCAGGAGGGACACAATGACCCATCTTCCTCAGGAACTTGGGCACAGCTTCCACTTTTCTGTTCTAGGCAGCTTGTCCCCATCTGGAGGGGTGTCAGTGCCACCCAGATGACTGAGAAGTGGCCCGTGCTCTGAGCGCATCCCGCTGGCTCCTCACTGGCCACAGCTTGTCCCCGGACAGTGGCTGCAGCCATTTGACCCTCATTCCATCCTCGTTGCCTTTCAGCTCTTTAGAGTTCACACACTGAACACAAGGGGGCGCCAGATGGCCACCCAAACCCAGACAAGCCTCTGAGTGTCCAGCTTGGTCCCCATTTCCCAGAACGGAGGCCCCAGGTCACCCAGCCATGCTTAGGTGTGTGTGCTAGGACTTCTGTGTCTGGGAGTGGGGCTCCCACAGATGGGGTTCTTCATCCCTAGACAGACAGCAGGTTTCAAAGACCAAATGCCCCTTTTGGGTGGCATGAAATGGGTCTTTTGCCTTTAAAAACATCTCCCCTGTTTCTCCATTGACACTGTGAGGACCAATGACTTCTGCCTTCTTGAAGGGCTGATCAGGACCCTTAGAACTCATCCCCTAAGCCCCCCGCAAAGGTTGTTTACTGGGTCGGCCAGTGTGGGTGTGAAGGGGAAGATGTGTTCGCACCACTGAATTCTGAATTCTCGGTGCTTTGCTTTATTTTACCAGCTTTGTAGTGACTTGTGCGACTGTGCGGAGAGCTGGGCCAGATTCCTGCACTGATGTAATCTGTTTTAATTTTATCATTTGGGAAAGCTGGGGTTTTTTCACCCTTAGTGTTTCCATCCATTGAATAGAGCTAAACAGACTCACTGGCCATCTGCTGGCCCATAACAGCTGCTGTAGGAAGATGGGGGTGAGGCTGGACAGTGTGTGCTTAGCTGAAAATTGTGGTATAAGCGTAAAAGTTTTCTAATTCGAATAGTCACATGGTTGCGTGTTACGGCCCAAGCTTTGCCCTACCACTGGGACGGTGGCCCCCAGACTTGAGTGTCTTTGTTGAACAACAGGCTGCTGAGCACAGTGAGCTCTGAATTGGTCTGGGATGGGACCAAGGACCTGTGTCTGAGATGGTCCCAGGCGGGGCTGTGCCACTGGTCTGAGGCCATGGCCGGTGAAGAAATTCTAAGAGAACAAGGAACCACTTGTGCACCTCCCACCCCAGTCCCACCGTCTTCCAGAACAATAGTTCTTATTGTTTGCATACTACAATTGTCATTTCTTTTTATCTCAACATGTATGTACCCAGTGTCCACCCCAAATCAGGCACAAAGCCCTGAGGGTGACACCTTGAACAAGACAAGAAACCAGGCCCACAAGGGACTTGTAATCCTTGGTGGGGGGATGTAATCCAATAGCTGGAGGACCTCCTGACAGAGGTAAGTCCAGAGGCTCCAGCACCCATAGTGGCAGGATGACCAGGAGGTGACTGGTGGAGACATCTGTTCAGGAAGGAAGCCCATGTACAGGGTCTCAGTGCTCTTGAAACATGGAAGGTTTGCTGCGGCTAGGGATAGGCAGGAATGAGTGCCTGAGGCAGCCTCTGGCTGCAGATGGAGATTGCCCCTCTGGCTTGAGTTCCTGTGATAGAAGGATGTCTGTCCCTCCTGTGTCCGGTGCAGAGGAGTGGACTCCTTTGGGTGAGTCACACCAGATGCCCAGGGGTGGGTGCAGCCTTCCTTCCTGCACTGGTGAGGGCTGGCCGCCCACTGTACTGACCACCTTCCCACACGCCTGTGGATGGGAGGGCTTTGAGGCCGGAAGCCAGACATGAGTGGGAGCCCCTGGTTGGGCCAGGGGACGGTGGGGACCAGGACGAGGTTTGACACTTCCTCAACAAAGGCCCTCTGCATGGTCTTCAGGGTCATGGGTGTGAGGAGGAGGAGGACACAGTGCCTGCCTGGGCTCAGCACGCTCTGCGTGTGGAGGTCTTCAGACAGGGCTGCTAACTTCCTGGGCCTGGGAGTACTCACCCCGCAGTGAGTTCATGTGGGCCTCTGCAAAGCTCTCGGTGCAGCTTGCTGTCCAGACATGTATACTTAGCAAAAGTGACCATTTGGGGATGTCTTAGGATTTCCTTTGGTAATTTCTTCACCCCTTACAGGCCCCGAGGGTTACAGACAATAGAAGGAAAGAGGCTCATTGCCCAAAATCCTCATTACGGTCACTGACACCCAAGCCCGGAGGATGTGGTGATGGTTTCCTATGCCCCACAGTCCTTTGCACAAGTCTGTCACAGCACTGGCAGCAAGACCCTTATCTGTTTACATTCCTGTGTACCCAGCACCTGTCACAAACTATAGTTAATGCCTCAGTGAATAGCACATGTGACAGATGAATGCTTCATATGTGTGAGGGTGCTGTGGTGCTGGTAAGGGCGTCCCCACTTAGGACCCCTGAGTCCCAGACTCAGTTCTTTTCCTCTTCTCTCTGTTGTCTGGCTTCTCACGCATCTGCTCTAAAGTGACAATGGCCCCAAGTGTTGTTCTGTGAAAATTTCCATGTGACTAGCTAGGGATTTTTGCTTTAGCCCCAGAGTGTTGTGGTGACAGTCTGAGTCCTGGCAGGATGAGAGTGGGAGCTGGGTGCCCTTTAAGTCATGCTGTGCCTGTGGCCCTGTGCAAATGCATGGCAGGAACAATGCCACCTGTCTCTGGCATCTCTGCCTGTGGCCTTCTGTCCCCAGCACGCTCGCTTGCAGTCTGTGATCTCCTACTGTGACCTTCCAGCTGCCCCCCATGGCATAAACCTAGTGTTCCAACCTTTTCCGCCTTCCAGCCCAGGTCTGCATGCCGGGGGCACTCACGCACCCGTGAGGCTGTGGGTCACCGGGCACACAGGCCCTTGGACGAAGACAAAGGGACTAGCATACTGAGAACAGCACCCACGTCTGGCTTCAGCCCTGACTGGCTGGCTATGCTAGTCCTTATCCTCTGTAAGGAACTGGATAGGAGATGGCAGCCCTTTCTCATTGCCCCCTTGTCCCCTGTCTGTTCTGGAACTGTTCTCCATCAGCTGTGCCCCACTTCCATCACATCACTCACCTCTCCCTTTCTAGGTCCTTACCCTGGACTTGCAAACACAGTGAAACCCACCTGTGCTGCTGTCCAGCCTGTATGCACAGCACACACACATACACCCCTGCCCTGACTAGTTTCCAACCAGACTTCTCAACAAGTCTTCCTACTTGCTGGTACTACTTCCTTCATATCCTGCTTGCTATGTGGTGGTCACCTCACCGTGTGCCTCAGGCCGAGCATGTGCTCAGACGCTTGGTGACACGAAGGTACTGGGTCCTCCTCCTCAAAGAGCTTTCCATGACAATGTGTCTTGTGGTTCCTTACACCTTCAGTCTTTCTGTGGATTCCTTCCAACCGGTTCTCTGTTCTCCTTTGTCCCTTCTATCTATTTCCTGGGATTCCTCTTAAATCTCGGTGCTGCAGTCACTCTACATAGCTGTCCTCGGTGATCCCGGCTACTTTTACGTTCAGCTTCCCTTTGGAAATCTCCTCTTTGCTGATAAACAGGCACCTCCTCTAGTGCTGTCTTGTGTGTCCCTTGCACCTGGAATTCTTGTCTCCCATCTTATCTAGGCACCTCCTAGCCACCCAATACAGTTCAGCATAGTCATTTCCTGACGGTGGCTCTGTGCCACCCCACAGAGCAGGTTAGGCCTTTCATCCAGATGTTCTCACAGCTCCTGTCAATTTTCTTGCATGGCACCACTCACATTTCAGTTTCACATCTATTTGCATGACTATATATATAAGCAGTAACTGTCTTCACTCACAGGCTGAAAGCTCCACGATGACAGGACCATGTCTGTTAAATTATATTAGGTGTTCAATAAATATATGCCACATGAATTAACTGCCTTTATCTTCTTCCCCCATCCCCATATGGAACACTCACCGAAGTGTGATGTTTTTACCTCCTAAACATTTACCTAAGCAGCACCGTCCAGCTGTCCCAGCACACACACACCCAAGTGCTTGTTTATCCACTCGACACTTGTCTATGGGGTGTCTGTCCCTGGCCAAGCATTTTAGTAGAGCTGATGACATGGAATTGATCCT